TTGCCCAGGGCTGCCCTGCTCCTCCCCAAGCCGCAGTCCCACCTCAAGCAGGGACCCTCCTGTCCCCTGCTCCGGGGAGCGGCCAGGTCAGCTGAGGCAAAGACCCTGAACAGTGCGGGCTCAGCCAGTCCTGAACCCGGGCGTCCTGCACAGCTTGGCCAGGGCCCTCTCTGGAGACCCCAACGTGGCTCCCAGGGCGGCAGGGGCTGGTGTGGACCTCAGGCCACCGCCTCTGCTAGTCCCTTGGGAGGGGGCAGCACTCAGCGCCACGCTCCGCCCTGCCTGCCCCAGGAGCCTGTGCCTTGGTCCAGCCCCACCACCTCCCTCCGCACTGGACAGACTGGCCACCCTTGCAGTGCCCAGCCAGACGGAAGTGGCCACGGGGGTGCTCAGGCCTTGTTCTGCTGCCACTGTGCCCGGGGCAAATACTCAGCTCCAGGGGCCCAGCGGCTGCCCAGCCCTGCTCGCCCTGCACTGGCGCCGAGGATACGCCCAACCCCAGCTGCAGCTGGCCCTGGGACGCACTGGTCCGGTGCGGGGTGGGGGTACCCTGTGCCCCAGCCCCTCCACCGCAGGAGGGCTCGGCCAGTCTGCCCACGCCTCACTGTACTCCCTGTCCCCAGCTCCTACCTGCTGCTCTCTGTCTCTGACCCTGTCTCCTCTGAGCTCTCAGAAGCGGAGCCGCCCTGCTCCACGCCTCCCCAAGGCAGTGGGCTTGGGGCAAGAGGAGCGGAGATGGGGAAGGGACAAGTGGGGGGGAGTCCCAGGTCACTCAGACACCTTGGGAAGCTGGGAGGCCCTGGAGCAGGGGGGTTGGGAGGCTGCCTGGGTGCCCTGGACTCCAGGCAGGATGAGTGCATGGACGCAGGGGACAGCCTGTGCCATGGCCCCGGAGTGGGCCAGGTGTGGGGCTTGGAAAGGAGGCTGGCGTGGCAGAGAGCAGAGCACAGGGACGTGGACTCAGAGCCCGGCCGGTCCCTCTCGCACATCGCGGCTGCAGGTGCACAGGAGAGAACGGCTCTCGCTGGGGGCCCCCGGCTGGGGCAAGCCAACCTGGGGCAGAGCGGACGCTCGGGGCAGGCGGCCAGCCCTGGGCAGTGAGGGCCCGCTGTGCACCCGGCGCCTTTGACAGCTGAGAGAGGGCGGCTCCCCAGGCCTCGAGGCCACATCCCCGCGAGCCGCTGGCCCCTGCCCCCACGGAGCCTCCGCCACGGTTCCGCTGCCCGTGTGCCGCCCGCTTCCTTGCCGTGGAGCCCGGCTGGAAAACCGCCCGCAGTTCGAGAGGTTTCTCAGCGCAGGCTCGGCGCTGGCACGTCAGGGCCTTATCTCCCCCTTCCAGAGCTGTGGTGTGCGTTTCCCTTCCTAAAAGGAAAAAAGATCCCAGAGAAACCACAAACTGAAAAGCAGGCGGCCGAGGCCGGATTCGCCTGCAGCTTTCTGGGAGCTGATAAGGAGGCGCCAGTTGCCAGGGCGACGGAGCAGCGCAGTGCCCAGCGTTTCCGGGGCGACCCCGCTGCCCCCCAGGGCATTTCTCCTTGCAGAGGGGGCTCCCGGCCCGTGTGGGGGCCAGGACAGGAGCTGTGCAAAGGCAGCAAGGCCGACCGGCTGCTGGGGGGCAGGGGGCGTGTCTGCGGGGGCTCTGACCCTCGCACAAGGGCAGACCACCTGCTCCATCTACAGCTGACCCACAAAGCTGGGAGAGGGGTCTGAGCTCCGGGACAATGGGTTAAGCCACTGCCCGAGACGCCCGCACCCCACGTCGGAGTGGTGCTTGGAGTCCCCGCTGCTTCCTGCTAACGCGCCCGCGACGGCAGTGGAAGGTGGCCACAGTGCTTGGCCCCTGCGCCCCGTGGGAGATCAGCGTGGAGCTCCTGGCTCCCAGCTTTGGTTTGGCCAAGCCCTGGCTATGGCAGGCATTTTGGGAGTGAATTAGCAGAAGGAAGATCAGTGTGTGCGTGTGGTGTGTGTGTGTGTGTGTGTGTGTGTCTTCTGCCTTTCAAACAAATAAAAATACAAACCTAACTCGGGGTCTAACAATTAAGACGACCATGTCCCACAGCCAGGTGCCCGGGGCCAATTCCCAGCTCCGGCTCCTGCTCACATGAACCCTGGGAGGCAGCCGCCACGGCTCCTCTCAAAGAAAGACAGCGACAAAGCAGGATTCAGCAGGGTGAGGGCTCTCAGCAGGAGCAAAGCGGGCGGGGGGGGGGGGGCATGGCCCGGGCGCCCTGTAGGGGGTGGCGGGAGCCCCCTGGCTTTTGCAGAAGGGCAGCCCCAAACGAGGGCGGAGACAGCCGGTACCCAGCACATCCCCGAGGCCTGACCTGGCAGGGCCCAGGGGCAGCAGAGAGAGGCCCGGAGCCGGATTTGGGGGCCGGCAGCTCCGGGGTGTATCCACAGCATGGGGGACTTTGAAAAGTGCACGGAAGAACAGAGAGAAAAGCCACCGCTCATTTTGGAGCAGAAAACAAAAGGAAACTCTGAAGTCCGAGTGTGTTTTTTCCTTAACAGCATCTCCCCGTGGACGCCAACTGGCAAAATGCAAACAGAAGATGCCTTCCATTGGTGAGACGGCAGGAGGAGCGGATGCCTGGGGCCGGCCTGGGGACTCAGACGGGTCCGGCCAAGCCCAGGCAGGCAGGGCAGCAGGAGCTGCCCATGTCCCATGTTCCCAGAGCGCCGCAGGCCCAGTGTCCAGGACATGGCGTCCCGTAGCAGAGCGCGGGGCTCCAGTCCCCTGCCAACGCAGACCCTGGCGGGGGGGCAGCAGGTGATGGCTCAAGTGCTCAGGCCCCTGCCGCCCCCATGGAGACCTGGATGGAGTTCCTGGCTCCCAGCTTTGGTCTCTGGGGACAGTTTTTCTGCCCTGGCTCGGGGCAGGGGGGGGGGGCAGGAAGCAGGAGGTCCCCACCCTCCCTGGACACAAAGGCAAACTTTGGGGTGCTGGCTGGGACGCAGTCACTGCTCAACAAGACACAGAACAACGTCCGTGTACCTCTTGTGCTGCCGCCGCACTTCCTGGTCTGGATGCCTTTACAATGATCTTTCTCTTCCGGGCAGCTGGCGGGCGGAACAGCAGAGGACTCGGCAGACAAAAATCCCAACCGGGAGAGGCCGGCCCTGTGGCCCAGTGGGCACAGCCCCAGCCTGCAGCGCCGGCCTCCCACGGGAGCACCTGTTGAGAGAGAGTCCCGGCTGCGCCGCGTCCGACCCAGCTCCTGCTAATGCGCCTGGGAAGCAGCGGCAGGTGCCCTGCACTCACGTGGGAGACCCTGAGGAAGCTCCTGGCTGCGCCTGGGCCAGCCCTGCTTGCTGCCTTTTGGGGAGTGAGCCAGTGGATGGACACTCTGGCTCTCTCTCCCCCTTTCACTGTAACTGTGCCTTTCAAATAAAGAAATACATCTTTTAAAAATCTGGGGGCTGGCGCCGCGGCTCACTAGGCTAATCCTCCACCTTGCAGCGCCGGCACACCGGGTTCTAGTCCCGGTTGGGGCGCCGGATTCTGTCCCGGCTGGTCCTCTTTCAGGCCAGCTCTCTGCTGTGGCCCGGGAGTGCAGTGGAGGATGGCTCAGGTCCTTGGGCCCTGCACCCCATGGGAGACCAGGAGAAGCACCTGGCTCCTGCCATCAGATCAGCATGGTGCGCCGGCCGTAGCGCGCCGGCCATTGGAGGGTGAACCAACGGCAAAAAGGAAGACCTTTCTGTCTCTCTCTCTCACTGTCCACTCTGCCTGTCAAAAAAAAAAAAAATCTTCTGGGGAGCAGCTGCCCACGGGGAAGCCAGGGGCTGAGGCCGCAGACCCCTCCCCGCGTGTGCCCTGCTGCCCTCTGGCCCCAGCCCTGGGGCTGGGCAGCCTCGGACAGGGAGCTGACCCCTCCACCTGGAAAACATAGGTCACAGCTTGCTCTGACAGGCAGGCTCTGGGGGGACCCCCCGCCCCCGGAGATAAACACCTACCGACAGGAGCCGCGGGCCCAGCAGCAGGGGGCTCCTGGCCCTTCTTGCTGCCCAGTGGCCTTGCTCGGCCCCAGAACACAGGGCACAAGGACAGCAAAGGCTGGGGGCTCCGTGCTCGGCCGGGGGCTTCAGAGCTGGCCGCCCTGGGCCCTGTGCTCCGCCCAGCATGGGCTCTGACTCCAAGGGCCTATGCGGGGCCTCATCCCAGGCTGCACGGCGGCCCTGGGTGCGGCTGCTCTGCCCACACTGATGCATCTCTGAAAACGGCCCTGGGACCTGGCCTAGGGGTCAGAGACGCCCATGTCCTCCACCGGAGAGGCCAGCTCTGGCTCCTGACCCCAGCTTCCTAACGCACACCTGGGGAGGCAGAGGCGATGGCTCAGCGGTTGGGTTCCTGCCACCCATGTGGGAGACCTGGTCTGAGCTCCCAGCTCTCGGGCATCTGGGGCCTGGCCAAGGCCACTCCTCACCTGGAAGATGAAGCTAGAGGCGTCCGCCAAGCCCCCCTGGGCCTGCCCTCTGCACCACCCCATCAGGCCCCCCCAGCTCCCCCGAGCTCAGGTCTGGTCAAACGGGCGATGCAGCTCTAAAGCCAGCCCCAAGACAGCTGGGACCATGTGTCTCCGCTCCTCTGAGGTCCCTGCAGTCCGCGCCATGGGGAGAGAGCAGAGCGGCCAGTGCCTGGAGCTGCGGTGGTGGCAGGGGCGTGGCGTCGTGGGACCAGAGTCTCATGGACGTGGAAGGGGTAGGAGGGCTGCATGGCAGCATGGGTGTGCCAGGGCCCGAGCTGGGTGCTGGGACCAGGCCCCAGCTGCTGTCAGCTGTCACCAGGCCCCTGCTCCCCACCCCCATCCCCCATCCAGCAGGGTAAGGCCCGGCCTCAGCCTCCCTCACCTACCAAGGGCCCCCAGCAGCACCTCCTGTTGCCCCTGGCAGCATCCACTGCCCCCCCCACCTGATCCAGGTCAGCCTCGAGCACAGCACCTGCCCCTCCGCCATCCAGGGCCCAGGGCCAGGGCTGCAGGAAGGACCACACGGCTGCCTGGCTGGCTCAAGTCCCTTTTATTTGGAATTTCCCACATGCCACAGATCCACATGAAGAGACCTCCCCCCAGCATGGCGCTCGCCACATCACCGAGACACGCGCACGCGCAGCCTGATGCTGGTGGGGATGGTCGTTTAGCACCTGGTCACAAGGAATGGCAAGACCCCGGCTCCCCACCTGGGCCCCCAAGACCACGCTCAGCCTGCTGGGTTCAGCAGCCGGTGGCAGGGGGAGACACCACAGCTCCAGGGCGATGGTCGCCTGCCCATCACCCCTCCCTCCCACACTCGAGGCCCATGGACACAACCCCACCACCAGCAGCTGCAGCCTCCACGCCCGGGCCTGGCTCTGTGATGGCACAGCCGGGTAACTGCTCTGGGTCAGCTTCATGGTCCAGGCCCCGCCCCTGGGGTGTCTGTCTGGCCCCGCCCTCCAAGAGCTTCAGAAAGGGGGGAGAATGGCAGCCGGGGGGCCTGGGGGGTGTCTGTCCAGCAGGCCAGGCAGGTCCTGGACACTCTCAGGAACCCCACACCTCCACACAGAGCTGCCCCCGCTGGGGCACAGGCACAGCCAGCGAGGACACCCATGGAAGGCACCTGCCGCCTGGGTCCCGTGGCTGGCACCCACTGCCCACGGCCGCACCATACCGCCTGCCTTGCTCATGAACTTCTCACTGGGCCTCGGCAACTTTCGGTCCTAAGAGGAACAAACGACAAGGAAGGGGAGAGGGAAAGGCCGCCCCAGGCCACTGGCTGGGAGTCCCACAGGGTGACTTCCCCGGCCACACAACCCACAGTGGGGGATGCTGGGCCCAGGCCCTCCCCCGTCATGAGGCCCCTGGGCCGGGGCCCCGTCAGCCCCCCTCCACGTGGCCTGGGGCCCCACACAGAGCCGGCTGGGAGGGAGGCAGCAGCAGCCCCACAGGCACCCCAGGCCGGGGCCCACGGCTGAGTCCCAAGGCCTCCGAAGGCCAGCGCTGCTGCCGGATGACATAATCGCTTTGTCCGTGAAAATGAGAAGAGACACACGCTCAGGGCCCGCAGGGTCCTTTCCTCCCGCTCCCTCCCAGGGACACCTTCAGGAGCAGGGCGGGGCGCACGGAGCCCAGGGGCGTGAGCAGCGGGGGTCTGAGCAGGGCCTCTCTCTTCCCGAGAACAAAGGATCAGAGATGAAAGCTCTGATCTGCTTCCTCTCCCCAGGCTCACACACGGCACATGCACACTCACCGGCCTGCACACGCACGCACACGCACGCACGCGCAGACACACACGTGTGCGCCGGCCGCGCCTTTCGGCAGGCAGCATATGGTCCGCCGCCTAACGGCCCGGCCCTGCCAACTGGGAACCGTTACAGGGGGTTCTTTTCCCAGCGTAAAACGCCGCAGAATATAAATTGCAATCAACACCGGTGCCAAAATAGCACTTAGCGCGAACAAGCCCGTCGTTGGCATCTGCTGAGCCCTGCCTCGGGTGCGGGCGCGGCAAACCCTGCTCCAGTCCAAGGACTGTGGCTGGGGACACGGCAGACGCACGGTTCCTGGTGGGGGGGTGACCCTGCTGGTTAAAAGCGCCTGATTACAACGGCGGCCGTGCAGGCGAGATCGGACATGGCTGCGGCCTCTCCCGCCAGTTCCCGCAGGGAACACGGCTCTCCGCCCGAGCTGGGCTGCTCTGTGAGAAGGGGACACAGGCACCACGGCCCCCAGGCCACAGGGACCCCCTCCCCGCGGTCCTGGATCTCCCAGCCCCGTCAGGCTGTGGCCGGCCGTTCTCCCCCTGCGAGGACAGGAGGCGGCCACTCCCGGGCAGTCCATACCGCCCACTCGCGTCACCTTGCTGGTGGACTCCAGGGGCCACGCAAAGCTCTACAGCAGCAGGGGGCGGGGCTCCCACACCTCTCAGCTCCAGCAGGGCCCGTAGGCACAGCGGGAGATGCGACCCCTCGGACAGGGGCATTCCCTGGAATCAGTCTGCCCCCCAGGCCCCTGCCAAGGCCCTCTGGCTGCTGCAGCCTGTGGCAGGGAGGGTGCCCCATGCTCCAAGAGGAGGCGCCGGCGCCCTCATGCCAGAAAAGCAGGGGCAGCTTCCCCACAGACCTGCGCACAGCACCACAGGGGCCTCCGGAGCCCAGGGGAGGGCAGGGCCCGACGCCTGGGGACAGTGTCCAGTCTCCCACAGACCTGCACACACACACCACAGGGGCCTCCGGAGCCCAGGGGAGGGCAGGGCCCGACGCCTGGGGACAGTGTCCAGTCTCCCACAGACCTGCACACACACACCACAGGGGCCTCCGGAGCCCAGGGGAGGGCAGGGCCCGACGCCTGGGGACAGTGTCCGGTCTCCCGCAGACCTGCGCACACACACCACAGGGGCCTCCGGAGCCCAGGGGAGGGCAGGGCCCGATGCCTGGGGACAGTGTCCGGTCTTGACCAGCGAGGTGACCTACAGCCGATCTGGAGGAGGGCAGGCTGGATCTGCGGTGGCAGAGCAGGCGGCAGCCACCGGGGCCCTGTGGCAACCAAGGGCGCTGGGGCTTCTCCCCTGGGGAGATGCCCACGGCCGGCCAGGCCCCAGCAGTGAGGGGGCTTGGGCAGGCGTCCAGGTGGGAGGCCCGCCACAGGCGCCCAGGACACCAGCTCCAGGGGGCCTCACAGGGGAAAGGTGGGTGAGTGTCAGGTCGGGAGGGGCTCTGCTCTAAGTGTTCCGGGGAGGTGGGGGCTGAGTCAGCCTCCCCTCAGCCCCCATCACCCCAGCACAGACAATGCACGCCGCCCTAGGGTCCCCGCTGGGCCACACACGCCACCTGGCAGAAGTCCCGGGATAAAGCTGGGTTAAAAACGCGGGTGGATGCAGACGCACAGCTCAGCAGGGAGAGCCGCACCTGGCATGGCCACCCCAGAGCCCCACGGCCGGCGACAGGAGCAGCACGGGGGGCTGGGGCCAAGGGGTGCCAGCGCTGGGCCCCGGGACTCGAGCAGGGCCCCAGGCCATCGTCCGAGCCTTGGCCCCGCGGGTGAGCCTGGCCGCCGCCCCTGGCCCCTGCCCTCCTGTCTGGGCACCGAGTCCTGGCTGAGAAAGCGCAGCGGGCAGGGGCGGGCCGAGGTGCTTTCTTCCTCCCGAGGCCAACCGCGGGCTTCCAGGTGCTGGCCGCGCAGTCCTCACGCTCACCACCACAGGTTGGGCGGCTCCTCGGCCACTCTGCTTTTGAACAGGGTGATCTCGTCCAGGTGCACCATGGGCACGTCCCGGATGACGTCCGTGAGGCCCTCGTGCAGCAGAGGGAAGATGACGACGTTCAGCGCGGGGCGCTCGGCCTGGAAGCTGAACCAGAGACCTGCGGTCAGGGGCGTCGGAGACAGGGGACCCGCGCTGAGGGGCGTCGGAGACAGGGGACCCACGGTCAGGGGCGTCGGAGACAGGGGACCACACTGAGGGGCGTTGGAGACAGGAGACCACACTGAGGGGCATCGGAGACAGAAGACCACACTGAGGGGCATCGGAGACAGAAGACCACACTGAGGGGCATCGGAGACAGGGGACCCACGGTCAGGGGCGTCGGAGACAGGGGACCACACTGAGGGGCACTGGAGACAGGGGACCACACTGAGGGGCATCGGAGACAGGGGACCCGCGCTGAGGGGCGTTGGAGACAGGAGACCACACTGAGGGGCATCGGAGACAGGGGACCCACGCTGAGGGGTGTTGGAGACAGGAGACCACACTGAGGGGCGTCGGAGATAGGGGACCCACGCTGAGGGGCGTCGGAGACAGGGGACCCACGGTCAGGGGCGTCGGAGACAGAGGACCCGCGCTGAGGGGCGTCGGAGACAGGGGACCACACTGAGGGGCATCGGAGACAGGGGACCCACGCTGAGGGGCGTCGGAGACAGGAGACCACACTGAGGGGTGCTGGAGACAGGGGACCACACTGAGGGGCACTGGAGACAGGGGACCCATGGTCAGGGGCGTCGGAGACAGGGGACCCACGCTGAGGGGCGTCGGAGATAGGAGACCACACTGAGGGGCGTTGGAGACAGGGGACCCATGCTGAGGGGCATTGGAGACAGGAGACCCATGGTCAGGGGCGTCAGAGACAGGGGACCCGCGCTGAGGGGCATCGGAGACAGGGGACCATACTGAGGGGCGTTGGAGACAGGAGACCCATGGTCAGGGGCGTCAGAGACAGGGGACCCACAGTCAGGGGCACTGGAAAGGGGAGACCCACACTAAGGGGCGTCGGAGATAGGAGACCTGCACTGAGTGTCAGAGACAGGGGACCCGCATCGAGGGGCGTCCGAGACCAGGGACCCTTGCTCAGGGCACAGCAGCCCTCCCACAGGGCTTAGTCCCCCAGGTGTGCACGGGAGCGTCTGACTGCAGTGACACACGGAGGAGCCTTCGGGCCGGCCACAGGCCACAGACCAGGGGCAGGGGCAGGGGCAGGGAGAGAAGGTGGAGGGCACAGAGGGGCTGCCACGCTTTTCTCTGCACGGGGAGGAGGCACCCACTCTGCACCAGGCACAAGATCAGAGACCAGGGGCTGGCGTTGTGGCGCAGTGGATTAAGCTGCAGCCTGAGATGCCAGCATCCCATATGGGCACCGGTTCAAGTCCTGGATGCTCCACTTCCTGATCCAGCTCCCTGTTACTGTGCATGCAAAAAGCTGTGGAAGAAGCCCCAAGTACCTGGGCCCCTGCATCCATGTGAAAGACCCGGATAAAGCTCCTGACTCCTGGCTTCGGCCTGGCCCAGCCCCGGCTGTCACGGCCATTTGGGGAATGGACCAGTGGGTGAAGGATCTCTCTCGCATCTTTCCTCCTCTCTCTGTAACTCCTTTTTTAAATAAATAAAACTCAGGGCCCAAGGAGGCAGCCGTGCTCTGTAGATGGAGGAGGGGCCGGGGAAGAGCCCCAGCAGGGCTGAGGCCTCTGCCACCCACGGCCAGAACAGGGAGCAGGGACAGGCGGCCAGACCTGCACAGCACGGGTCTTCCTCAAGGGCCTGTCCCCAAGTCAGCGGAGGGAGTTGGCAGCAGGGGCTCCATGAGGAGCAGCCCCTCTAGGACCTCAGGCATCTGTCAGGCTGGGCGAGCAGAGCCCCTGTACCCCCAGGGGCACCCAGGCCCCCCATGCTGTGGACAGGAAATCCAAAGGGGCACAGTGTTACCAAGGCCCACCCCGTGCCATGCACCACGCTGTCTGACAGACAGGGCCTCCTTCCAGCCTTCCGAGACTGCCGGGGCTGGTCCACAGCTGGTCAGGGCTGGGCAGGGTCCCCTTTTGGTCAGAGAGAAGCCAAGTCCACAGTGTTACCCACTCCAGTAGGTCAAAACACAACATGACACCCAGAAAACCAGCACGCTGCCCCAGGGAGCTGGGGGCAGGGCGGGGGGCACACAGCAAGGGAGGAGGGCCAGGCCGCGCATCCCGCCGGGCCCAGGGGATGAGGGAGGCTGCAGCCTGGGCTCAACCCCAGCCTCACTGTGCCAGCGCGAGCACAGGCGATGCCAGACGGATGCCCATAAAACCCCAGTTTGGGCAACAAAGATGCCGGACACCTCCCAGCTCTGCTGGGCGCTGGTGGTGTCGTGAGCGCGCAGCTCACAGGCCACGCGGCAGACACGGCCCAGCCTGCAAACCCACTGTGTGACAAGCTGGATCGGACACCTGTCAGCCGTCACCCCAGGGACTCCATGCGCTGGCGTCAGCGCAGGGAGCGGCACTTGTTTGTTGGCAAAGCGAGGAGGGCACAGTGCTCCCAGGCCTGGCCCAGAGGCCCCCACCACAGTCCTCACGGTGCCTCCATCCCACCGCCTCGGTCACTGCTTACACGTGTGGGCCACATCAGCTCACGGGCGCCCACGTCTCCCTGGGCAGAGGCGGCCAGAGACGGTGCAGCGGGCCCTGTGCAGGCCTCTACAGAATGAAGAGAAGTGGGGCGGAGGGCACAGGGGACAGGGGAGCACTCGCTGCCCCCATGTGGGGCGGAGCCTGCAGGCAGAAAGCTCCTGGCCAGGCAGGAGCTCTGGGCTGTGCGACTTGTGGCAATTCAAGTTCAAGTTTAAGAAAGCTGACAGGATGAACTACAACTCCTTCCAGCTCCCCAGAGGGGAAGGCAGGCTGGGCTGGCGACAGCTGTTTCTGGGCACATTAGCACGCCGCCCTCTGCCCCCCGGCTTGCCGTGTGACCCTCCACACGCCTCCCCACCCCCCAGGCCTGGTGTGTCCACCCCTTCTTAGGCTGTGAACCTCAAGAACCACGAGCCAAAGCAAGCTCCTTCCTCCAAGGGGACCTCGACACAGGCTTGGAGGAGACGCCCGCCGCCCGGTGGGCGGGGCTGCAGAACAGCGCTCGGCACCCCCACCCCCACCCGTCCACTCTCCAGGTTTCAGCTACCTCCGGTCAACCTCACTTCAAAGTGTTACACAGAAAAGCCTAGAAACAATTTGTAAGTTTTAAACGCGTCCATTCTAGGGACCTTATGAAATCACCCTCCTGCCCGGGACAGCGGTCACTGGGCCAGGGTCCCCCAGCTGCCCGCAGTGGCCCCGCGGCCCAGCAGGGGGACGCTGCAGCGTGCAGCTAAGTGCCCCGAGCAGGGCTCAGGCCCACTGGCGGCCGACGCCGCCCCTCGCAGCTCCAGCACCTGTCCTGCAGCCCCCAGCGCTGCCACCACAGCCCACGGCAAGGGGCGAGTGAGAGAGCACCCGCCGGTCCCGCTCCCCGGAGGCCGCCGGCACCCACACCTCCTTGCGAAGGCTAGCTCCTGCAGACCCGCCCATGTGGTGTCGTGCTCCACAACGCCAGGGGAAGCCACGGACACGCCAGTCCGCCCACAGGCCAGGATCGCACCAACCTCGGCCTGCCGGCGGCAGCAACAGCAGCCCCGCCCTGACCGTGGAGGGCACAGCCGACCACGGGGTGTGGGGAGGCAGCGGCGCTGACCGAGGAGTAGACAAAGCAGCGATAACGGGCCTGGGGTGGCCCAAGTCCCTGAGGCCTGGAATGCATGTGGGAGAGTTGGAGGAAGCTCCTGGCTGCAGGCTTAGGCTGGACGAGCCCCCCCGGCCGTTGTGGTCATCTGGGGAGTGAATCAGCAGATGGAAGACCTCTGACTCTCCCTTTCTCTCTGTAACTCTGCCTTTCAAATAAATAAATAAATCTATGGGGGGGGGGGTGGCGCTGTGACACAGGTTAATCCTGTCCAGGCCACCACGGAGGACAGATGCTGAGAGCGCCTGCACCTGCGGGGGAGGTGGGAGCCAGGAGGGAGCCGAGCGGCCCGGACTGTGGTGGAGCCCGAATCCCAAGGGGCTTGCGTGACGCTGGGGCCCTGGGGGAATGGGGAGATGACGCTGGCAGGGTGGGGCCGCATGCTGGGGTCAGGGCTTCCCAGGAAGGACACCAGGGACGGGCGCTGTGGCAGCAGCTCAGCTGCCACTTGAGGCCCGCGGCCCGTGTCCAAGCGCCTGGGGTGAAGCTCGGCCTCCAACGCAGCTCCCTGCTACCGCGCTCCGGGTCCCTGCCACCCACGTGGGAGACCCGGACTGCGCTCCTGCCTCCAGCCCGGTCCCACCGCCTGTGGGCTTGCGGGGAGTGAGCTAGCAGTCAAGAGATCTCTCTGCCTCTCAAATACAACCAATACGGATGTAAGGAGCTCACTTTCAGTGCTAACGCTCTGTGTCTGCTGGGCTGAGCTCCTTTTCTCCATGTGCAAACTCCCTTTGTTTGAAAGGCAGAGAGACAGCCGGACAGAGACGGACTGACACATGGCTCCTTTCCGCACGAGATGTCTCAAAGCCCCCAGGCGAGCAGGGGTCTCAACTCTAAACCTCCAAGGACACAGCCAAGGACATGGCTGGGCCAGCGACCACGGCCTCCCACCGCTGCAACCACCCGGGGCCAACTCGAACCAGCCTAGCGGCTGGGAAACTGCGGCAGTCGCCCCACAGCACCCGGGTGGCCAGGGTCAGCGGCCAGCCCGCGAGCAGCTGGACGAGAGGCAGTGAGCCAGGTCAGAGAGGGCCTGGGGCCTGGCACAAACATGGAACGAGGTGCCACCTCTTCCAGCCTGCACAGAGTCGCAGGCAGGGACAGGCGTGGGGACAGTGAACAGAGAGCAGCCAGGGGCAGGTCCTCCCTCTCACACCACCATTCTCTGAGCTCTCCAGGCAAGGAAAAGGGTGAGAAAAGGCAAAGCAACAGAAAAAGCAACAACAAATCCCAGCTTTTTCTTCTCGCCATCATCCAGAGAGGCTGGGCCCGCAGACAGCCATGGGTCACAGCGCCACCTACTGGGCTGCCCACAGAAAAGCATCCGCAGGGCAAGGGGATCCCACACCTGAAGGGCTGGGCACTGATGCTGGGCCAGGAAGGGGGCGGAAGGCCTGACCCTGCACCCAGGCTGCAGATGCCCTTGACCCATCCCAAGACCACGGCGGTGAGTGCAGGGCCCCCACGGAGGCCAGGGCTACCTGCAGGTAACGGGCCAGAGAGAGCTGCACACTGGCAGGGGCCACCGGGAAGCTCTCGTGCACACGTCCACAGGGAGGGTCGCTGTCCTCAGGAGCTGAGAGGGAAGGGGTCTCAGAGCCTGTCGCCTGTCTCAGCTGCAGAACCTGGGCACTCAGGACACGAGAGCCCACACGGCCCCTGTGCGGCCCCTGGCTTCTTCCAGAGGCGACGCCGTCCATCGGGCCCCACCGCTCACCCACTCTTGGCCTTCAGCGGCTCCATCTGTACAGTGGGGGTGGCAGCATTGCCCTCTCAGCAGCACAGCGCCTGGCCCAGAGCGGGATCAGCACACGGGTCTCGGCTGGCGCCGGCCAATACAGCTGAGAAGGCAGTGGAGGATGGCCCAGAACTGCTAACCTATGAGACCTGGATAAGGTTCCTGGCTCCTGGCTTTGGTCTGGCCCAGTCCTGGCTGTTATGGCCATTTGCGGAATAAACCAGCAGATGGAAGATCTCTGTCTCTGTCCCTGTCTCTCTCTCTCTCTCCTATTATCACTCTGCTTTTGAATAAACAAATAAACTTTAAAAGCTGGTTCATGGGGCCAGCACTGTGGTGTACCAGGTAAAGCCCCTGCCTGTATTACCAGCATCCCATATGGACGCTGCTTGGTTCGTGTCCTGGATGCTCCACTTGCGATCCAACTCCCTGCTTATGCAACAGGAAAGCAGCAGAGAATGGCCAAGTCCTTGGGCTCCTGCACACACGTGGGAGACCCGGAAGAAGCTCCTGGCCCCTGGCTTTGGTCTGGCCCAGCCCTGGCTGTGTGGCCATCTGGGAGTGATCCAGCAGATGGAAGATTGACCTCTCTCTCTCTCTCTCTCTCTCCATTTCTGTAACTCTGACTTTCAACTTTCAAATAAAATATTTTTAAAGAAATATTCCCCCAAAACTGGTGACATGAGACAACTGACGTCTTGCACTGTGCCAGTCTGGAGAAGGCAGCGCTGCGGACAGGAGCAGGAGCGGGAGCCGTGGGATGGAAGAGTGACCTCGGGAATGCGCTGGGGAGTGAAGCAGCAAAGTGCAGGCGGGAGAGGGGACGGGAGAGGAGGTCCCAGCGTCTGTGCACACAGAACGAGAGGCTCACCGAGAGCCTGCAAGGTTCGACCCTCGTGGCACGGGGACCGGGGAACCGGGACCAGGAGGGGCCGGGGAGCAACACACTACATTTATCCCCTGTCTGAAATTTCTAAAATGTTCATTTTGTTTGCAAGGCAGAGAGACACAGAGAGAGACACCTTCCCACCACTGGTTCTCTCCCCAGATGCTGGCAGCAGCCCAGGAGCTGGGACCTCAATCCAGGTGTCCCACACCGCAGCCACCACCTGCTGCCCCCCGGGGTGAACACCAGCAGGCAGCTGGATCGGAACTGGAGCCAGGACTTGAACTCAGGGACCCCGACACAGGCTGTAGGTGTCCCAGGTGGGGTCCTAACTGTTGAGCCTAACACCTGCCCCTTTCAAACTTTTCAAAAATTTTATTTATTTATTTATTTGAGAGGCACAGAGACACATAAAAGCAGAGACAGCGCTCCCACTCAGTGGCTAACTCTCCAAATGCCTGCAATGGCTGGGGCTGGATCAGACCAACCCGGGGAGCCAAGAACACAATCCAGGTCTCCCACATGGTGCCAGGGACAGATTACTTCAGCCACTATCACTGCCTCCCTGGGGCCGCCGCTGTGGCACCGCAGGCTAAGCAAGCCTCTGCCTGTGGTGCTAGCATCCCGTACAGGCACCAGTTTGTGTCCCGGCTGCTCCACTTCCAATCCAGCTCTCTGCTGTGGCCTGGGAAAGCAGTGGAAAAAGGTCCAAGTGCTTGGGCTCCTGCACCCACATGGGAGACCCAGAAGAGGCTCCTGGTTCCTGGCTGTGGATCAGCCCAGCTCCAGCCATGTGGCCACTTGGGGAGTGAACCAGTGAATGGAAGACCTCTCTCTCTCTGTCTTTCCTTCTGTCTGTAACTCTGCCTCTAAAATAAATGAATAAATATTTAAAAACAGAAGACAAAAACCCAGGCACAATGATAGAAGAGTCAGCATCCCTTGAAAATAAGTGACTTAAATACTTACTGATTTAAAACAGATAGACACAGGCCTTCCGTCCACTGACTCGCTTCCCAAGCGGCTGCAATGGCGGGGCCGAGCCAGGACAAAGCAGGGATCCAGGAAAGTGCGTGCAGGCGCCCAGATACCCGCGCCGTCCTCTGCTGCTTTCCCAGGCCATCAGCAGGGAGGTGGAGTGGAAGCGCTCCAATAGGGGGCGCCAGCATCACGGGCAGCAGCCTGTCAGCTCGCTGCACCACGACGCCGGCCCAGCACTCGCGTTCTAATTCAGTGTCTGCAGTGCCAGGCCAGACGCCCGCCCTAACGTACTCTTGGAGCAGCACAGACGTGGAGAGCGAGGCTCCACAGACCAGAATACACCGAAGGAAGCAGGACGTGGGGTGCGCGCAGAGCGGACACGCAGCTCTGTCACAAGCCCCCTGGTCACAGAGCCACCCGGCAGGGGTGCGGGGGAGAGGGGCAAGGACTCGGGCAGCAGCAACCTGACGGCACACCGCAAGGCCAACGGCCACACTCGGCTCGTCAGGGCCACCTGGTAAACCTGTTTCTCACAGGGCTGGGGGCCAGCAGGCCTGGAATGGCTCCACGCAGCTGCCACAGGCAAGCATGCCGCGGATGGGAAGGCCAGGCCTGCCGTGGTGGGAGGGAGGAGCCCTGGGCACACGGGACTGCAGCCAGCAGTCAGGGAAATGCCAGGGGTCTCTGGAGACCAGGGAAAAGTACATTATCTCTTACATCCACTGGCTCCCTCCTCAAGTGCCCACAACAGCTGGGACTGGGCCAGGCTGAAGCCCAGGTCTCCCACGCGGGCGACAGGGACCCAAGGACTTGCGCCATCACTGCTGCCTCCCAGGTCTGCATCAGCAGGGAGCTGGAGCCAGGACTTGAGGGGAGGCATCTAACCCTTGGGCTAACAGACTTTCTGAAGCACATCGCACCGAGGTACATTAAATAGAGGTGTGTGTGCATGTGTGCACACACACACAAAGATCCCCGCTCTGTCCACTGAGGGCCTGAGGGCAGGGACAGCCTTGTGGCAGAGCTAAGCACTACTGAGCACCCCCTGCCCTCCTGGCTTCTAAATCCCAGCCCCGAACCAAGGGAGCGCCCTTGGAGAACTGGCCGACGCCAGGCCACGCCGGAAGGCAGGACAAAGCCCAAAGGAAGGGGCACAGCCCAGCCCGAAAGGACACCCGGCGGCCAAGTCGGGGACTGCCGGAACCACCAGAGTTAACGACGAAGCTCACTGTGCACGCGGATGCACACACGTGGAAAAGGAGTTCTAGCTGACACCCGGGAAAGGAATCCAGGCAAAGCTCCCGCGACCACGGCGCCCGTGTCCTCTCACAGCACACACAGAGAAGTGGCGCCTATGTGGGCGGAGTCAGGAGGCGACCAGGAGCCCTGGGAGGGAGCCCTCACCCAGCACCTGGACCCAGGCCTTCCAGCCTCCCAAACACTGAGCAACTGCGCGTCTTCCAGAAAGTCCGTGGAAAATGCGTATCGGCGAATAATTGGCGTGGGTTTCAGAAATCGTTTACAGCAAATAAATGGCCCTTTTAAAGCGCATTTTTCCGTGAGCTTCCTGCGGGCCCCCACAATGCCTCCTGCTGCCCACCTCCCAGTCTACGTCCAGCGACAGGAGCCCAAGCAGAGCAGGCCAGACCTGCCATGCACGCTGCAGAGGAGGCTGGTGACCTGCGCTCAAGCCTCCCCACCCTCAGGGACAGACGGCAGACAGGGACAGACGGCAGACAGGCAGGGAGAAGCCCGAGGCCCCACCCAGCCTGGGCAACCACGGGCACCGCCAGGACGCACAGGGGACCGGTGTCTTGAGAGAGCATCGTAAACGCCGAGCCGCTGGCAAGGCCAGGAGGGAGGGAGGGAGGGAGCGGTCCTGAGTGGGAGAGGGCGGGCAGACCGAGCTCCGGCGCGGGTCGCCCCCGGCGCTCCCCGGCTGCACGAGGTCACTGCTGGGCACCCGAGGGCCCAAGCCTCGGGACCACTCACCTGCGGAGGAGGGACTGCTGCAGGCTCTTGCAGGTGGCCAGGGACTCGCCGGTGAACAGGTGGCACACGACCATGTGCAGGGAGCGGGCCATGAAGGCCAGCACGGCGTCGGGCTGCAGGGTGCCGCTGCGGGACACCAGGCAGAGGCGCTGCAGCGACGGGCACTGGCTCAGCGCCTGGAAGAACTGTGCGTTGGCACTGAAGTACGGCTGCTCCAGCCTGCGGGGGAGAGGCCTGTGAGTCCCACCAGCCCGGGCCAGCCCCGGCTGCCCCCGCCGCCCCCACCCCCGCTGGTGCCCAGTGCCCTCCAGCCCCAGCTCTGCCTTGGACAGTCTGCTGTGAGCGACCTGCCAGCCACCGCCACCTCCCCGGGCTAGGAGCCCCACCTGCGGCGGCTCACCACCCTCCACGCCGACCTGGGCGGGGGTTCCCGCCCCCAAGGCTCAGTGATGTGGGGGAGGCAGGATGAAGAAACACCCCTGAGCTGGTGGGGACCACACCAGGCAGGACACGGGAGGGCGGCCAGGCTAAGAAGGGAAGACTTGGGCCTGCCGACAAGGAAGGGCCGGAGGTTTCTACCCAGTCGGAGCCGCTCAGAAAGGGACGGGAGGAGCCCGTGCCGCGGCTCGGCAGCTCAGGCCGCCGCCTGCATCGCCGGCATCCCATGCGAGGGCCAGCCTGAGTCCCGGCTGCTGCGTTTCCAATCCAGCTCCCTACACAGGCACTGGGAAAGCAGAGACGGCTCAAGTGCTTGGGCCCCTGCAGCCACGTGGGAGACCTGGATGGAGTTCCAGGCTCCTGGCTTCAGCCTGGCCCAGATGTCACTGTTGTGAACAGCTGGGGAGTGACCTAGTGAATGACAGCTCTCTCTCTCTCTCTCTCCCCCTGTCCCTCTGCCTTTCATGTGGTTGAAAATAAGTATTTTTCACAAAACAATGTTTAAAAAAAACACCCACAGCATCCACTGCCTGGTGACAGCGCTGGGGCAGCAGGGGGAGCCCCACAGGGCCCTCTGAGCACAGAGCAGGGATGACCCCGCCCTGAGTGGCCACAGCTGTCATAAACACATTAGGGGAGGGTCCAGCCAGCTGTGGGCGAGCAGCTGCACCCAAGGACACAAGTGTGGCTGCACGGGGTGAACGCCCCTCAAGGACCCCTGGGGCCTGGCAGAACCCAGCCAGCCGCGCCGCTGCCAGCAGGGCCGGGGGTTGTGGGACGCTTATTCCCAGGATGTCTGAACGCACTGCCGAGAAGGAAGCCGCTCCGCAGGCCCGGAAGCCGGCAGGAGGGAGGGAGGCTGGCGCTGCCAAGGGAGGGAACATGGGCGCCGCCGTCACCTCGCCACTAGGTGGCGGTGCTGAGCTGTGCTACTCCCCCAAGGTCTCGAAGCATCGGGGTTAGCAGCCAAGGACCCTGGACCCCCCCAGCTGCCGGGAGCCATCACACCTACCTCCCCAGCTCCTGACGCTGCACGTGGCACAGCCCACAGTGCCTCCGGGCAAGGCTGGCAGAACTGACCTACGTGGGTGGACCCCAGGCATCCATCCGTTGGGACCAGCCTCACCGCGGCAGTAGGGCAGACCCAGCTCACCGCCTTGCAACCAGCAGGGCCCTGGCCTCCAAACCCCCTCCCCAGGGTGGAACTGAGTCTTCCTTCCTCGGGTCCCAGTGGTGCGGGGAACACAGTCCACACTCCCAGTGCTCCCGGGGCCACCACACGCTTCCGGCCAGGCGCTGGCACTGCAGGGGGGCTCAGGGTGAGGCTCTTACCCGGCCCCCCACTATCACCAGGCAGGACCTACAGTCCTGGGGAAGAAGGTGCCCGTTCTGGCCCTACCTGTAATCCCCAGGCTGCAGGCGTGTGCCCCGAGTCACAGCTCTGGATCCGCAGCCGTACGTGGCCCCAGCCAGGAGAGCTTGTTCCTGCACCCCCCCCCCACCGCCACCTGCTAGGAGCTCGAGGAGGGGGACAGCAGCTGCCAGGCAGCACCCCAGGAGGTAAGTGCAGGTGCTCCGGCAGCCCTGGGAGCGCAGTGCCAGCCTCCCCTGCGCCACCTGCTCCTCTCGCTGCAGCCTCCCTGGGCACACTCGCCCCAGAAGGCAGGGATCCAGAGGAACCGGGCCAGCTGGCCACGTCCTAGAGCCGGCGGTGTACTGAACAGGCAGTACCCGGCGCACAGCAGACGGGGCTTCCGTGGCTGCGGGGCACAGAAAGGCACCGCGAGCGGCAGGCAGGTTCTCAGGCCGGCCGTGAAGGCGGTGTCCCGACCCTGTGGCCTCCCGGGGAAGACGCCCGGCCACAAGGATCACGCGCCAGGCCCTGGAGATGCTGCCGTGCTGGCCCAGCCGGGGCCCGGGCACCCGTCGGCCTGCATGTGCTCCCCAGACCTGCACGTGGAGCAGTGTGCGGCCGTGCTCTGGGCCTCACTCTTCCTCACCTGCAGGGCAGGGCTGGCGGCAGCGCCAGGGGGCTAACGCCTGCAAGCACGGGGGGGGGGGGGGGGAGCCCCTGCAGTGCTGCCCCTCCCTCAGACTCAGCATGCCCCTGCGCACCGCGCACCCCTGCCGGCGGCTCACCCAGCTCCACGGCCACGGGCAGCTACGGCCAGAGCTCCACGGAGCTCCCTGGGCCAGGCCGCTGGCCAGAGCCCGCCATTGTTCAGCAAATGCTCTGGGGACAGGCAGCGGGGCGGGGAGGGGAGGGCCTGCCGCGGCTCAGCTCCGTGTTGGAGGTCTCTGGCTTTTTAGACTAGGGAACACGCTGCCCACTGCTTCACTTGGCTTCTGTTGGTTTCTGCTTTGCTCAAACTCCCCCAAGGCTCTGGCTCCTGTAGTCAGAGAAAGGGCAAGGGGCAGGGGCTGGCGGAAAGCAAGCTCCAGAGAGCCCTGGGCTGAGCTCAGTCCCAGGACCCGGGACCAGGGTCCCTGACCACAGGGGGGGGGGGGCTCCCACCACGGCTCCTCCAAGGAAGGCCAGGAGTGTACCAGAAAGGGCTGAGCAGGACACCAGGTGGGAGGCGCTGCACCGGGATACGCCACCGAGAAAGGAGGGGCTGGGGCCAGGGCTGCTGGAGACAGGAGCAGGGGCACGCGTGGCAGAGGGGCTGACCTCTGCGGCCAGAGCCGGGCACACACACGTGCGTGCAGCTCCGACTCCCCTTCCTGCAAAAAGGGTGACCAAAACTCACGCTCCTTCTGCCTGGATTTCTGAACCCTTGGCGGTCAGGTTTCAGAGGCCCCTATCCAGGAGGCACAGGAACACAGCGTGGACCAGCCCTCCCCCAGCCTCGGAGCTAACACCCGGAGGGCCCAAGGCTGAGCCCCGGCCTGTGGCCCCGACACGAGCAGAGGCGGGGGAGGGGGGGCCCACTGAGCAGCCCCACAGGGCTCCATGGTTGTGCAGCTCCCACCCAGATCCTGCTCACTCCCTGCCGTACTGAAGCCTGGCGGGGAGGGGAGGGGTCACAAAGACAGGACTCGCCTGCCTCCCTGGGCTGGCTCCAGGGCGAGGCCCTGCTCCGGCATCACACTGACCGGTGACACTCACCCCTGGAAGGAGCACCCCACGCCTCGGCTGTGACACGGCAGTGAGGACGGCACCAACCCGACCGGGTGGTCACGGATAGGACGGTCTCAGCGCCTGGCGGGAACACTTCCCTGTTCTGGGGACAGTGACACACGCGCCCAAGGGCTCCTGGAACATCCGCCCGCCCATCCATCGAGCCCCGCCTCCACCTCCTGCCCACACCTGAATCCCCGCCGGGCCGAGGTGCGCGGCCTGCACCTCGTCTTCGGGAGGTTTCCAATGTCAGATCTACCCACCGAGACTTGCGGACACCCCTTCGCCAACGAGTGCTCACCCTCTCACATGGGGACCGCCTCTCGCACCCCGCCACAATTCACGGGGAATCCAGTTCACGCGTGGCTCTGGCCAGCGGCCAGGGCTGGGCCACCTCCTTCTACCCTCCCCTCTCCGGGCCACCAGCACCTTCTGACCGGTTCCTCTCCCGCCCTCTCCAGCCCCCTCGGAACACCAGCCGTCCACCCCACCGCTTCAACACCTGCCCAGCACCAGAACCACCGGCTTGCTGGGGATTCCGTGCCTCTCGGCGTGTGCACACTGCTGGCCGCTCTGGAGAGCCCTGGCCCGGCATCCCCGGCTAACCCTGCGCACCAAGTGCAGCGGGAGAGCCCCCCCCACTGCCTCCCTGCCATAAGTCAGATGGGGGTGCTAAATGAGATGACAGACAGCAGCAGCAGGGTGTGGCGCACTCACTCCAACAGCTATGCGGAATGAAGACACAGCCGCCAGCCCCGCGCCCCCCCCCCCCGAGCTCCTGCCGGACCGGCCGGCACGCGGCAGGCCCACCGCGGCTGCGCCACACGCCACTGGCTTCCCGGCCGGCCTCCGAGGGGAGCGCGGGGCGCCCTCACCTGAGGTCCCTCAGCCGCTCGCAGTGCTTCAGCATGTCCAGGAGGGCGGGCACGTAGACCACCTTCCCCAGCAGGCCCAGGTTGGCCAGCGACAGGGACTGCAGCTGCTGGCACTGCAGGCCGATGCTCACCAGCCCGGAGCCCGTCAGGACGCTGGGCAGCTGGGCCAGCGTCAGGTGCCGCAGGAAGGCCAGCTGGCCGATGGCGGCCACCTCCGAGTCGCCGACGCTCTGCGCCCGGCTGCAGGGCGGGAGGGAGTTGCGGATGGCGGGCTCGTTGCGCGGCATGGCCGAGGAGAAGTTGGAGCCGATCAGCTCCAGGCGCTCCAGGAAAGGCAGGCTCTTCAGCAGAGACCAGAACACGGAGGAGGGCGGGGGCGCCGCGTGGCCCGAGCAGGGGCCGGGACAGGTCTGCACGCCGATGCGCACCTTCTTGCCAAAGCCGCGGGCCACGGCGTGCATGGCGGGCGGGGCGGGCGCGCGGTCGGCTCGTGGCGCCGAGTCGGCCACGGAGCACACGGGCAGGGAGAGGGAGCGCAGGTGGCGCAGCCGGGCCAGGAGCTGGCAGAGGTGCCTGCCCAGGCCCTCGGAGCTGTGGTGGTGGGCGGCGGAGAGGTTGAGGTGCCGCAGGTTGCAGCAGGAGGCCACCAGCGTCTCCAGGATGCTGCTGTCGATGTCGTCGTCCGCCTTGCGCAGCAGGGAGTCGGGGGAGAGGCAGTGGATGCAGCCGCTGAGGTTGAGGCTGGCCAGGCTGCGCAGGTCCCGCCCGCTGTTGATGACCCGCTGGATGAGGTGGCCGCCGGACAGCGTGCAGCGGCTGAAGCTGAAGTAGAGGGGGTTGTGGAAGCGCAGGTTCTGCAGGAGCGACGAGCCGTTGAGCCAGGACTTGGGCAGCTGCAGGGCGTCCAGCGTGACGTTGCGGGCCATGGAGTCCAGCAGGTTCTTGGTGGCCCCGCTCTCGGCGAAGCTGCCCGGCACGGAGATGAGGAAGGCGTGCAGGTTCTCAGGCGTGCGGTCGCTGAGCACGGCCAGGTAGAGCCGCACCACCTCCTGGTTGATGTAGCCCGGGGCCAGGCGGGCGTAGAAGACGCGCAGGTTCTGGTAGTGGGGCACGTTGCTCTGGCCCACCATGAGCTGGCCCGAGAGGACGGCGCCCTCGCGCGTGCGGTCCAGGATCTCGAAGTAGAGCAGCAGCCGCTCCAGGCTGGTGCAGCAGGGCACCACGCCGTAGGAGGGCGTGAACAGCGTCTGCTTGAGCTCCCGCACGCGGCTCAGCGTGGCCTTGCACTCGCCACTCAGCTGGCTGGCGTCGAAGCCGGGGCTCACGTCGATGGCCAGCGAGCGCAGGTGCGGCAGGGCCGAGAGCATCTTGGAGAGGCGCAGGGAGGTGAGATGGCAGCCCGAGAGGTTCACCTTCACCAGGCCGTGGCAGCGGCCCACCTGCTCGATGGTGGCGCCCGGCAGCCAGTAGCAGCCGGCCAAGTTCAGCTGCTGGATCTCCCGGCCGATGGCCTTCACCAGCTGCTTCACCTTGTCCTGGCTCACCTGCAGCACAGCAACGGGCGGGAGAGCAAGGGTGAGGCTTCACCCCTCACCCCGCCCCAACACACGACGGCAGAGGCGCTGCCCTCGCGCCTGCCTTCAGCCGACAGGGAGGGTGCGCGGGAACACGGGGGGTTCGCAGGCTGCGCAAAGAGCCAGGGCAGAACGGCCACGCGTAACCGCGGGACCCCAGAGCAGGGGCTCCCGTGCCTGTGCGCTCACTAAGGTGGAAACGACCCGACCTCCACCAACGGGAGAGGGATCCGCAGGAAGCCCTTCAGCCGCACACAGCCAGGAAGCACCGGCCCGGCCACGCTGGGGAAGCTCGGGGACACCGAGCAGCACACACGCGTGACGCCACTTCCGTGGGCACTCAGGGACAGACGCAGAACAGAGGCTACCGGGGCCGGGGCTGGGGCTGGGGATGGAGCGAGGGAAGTCCTTCCCTGATGGGCCCGGTTTCTGACCAGGAGATGAGAACGTTCCGGAGACGGATGGCAGTGACAGTCACACACAACACCAATGAGCTGAAGGTCACTCAAGGGGACCCTGAACACTGAGTGAGACGATGAGCTTCGGGGCCAGCGCTGCAGCGCTGCGGGTCAGCTCCCACATCCCACATCCCAGCACCAGTTAGAGGCCTGGTGCTCGGCTTCCAACCCAGCTCCTGCTAATGCATCCGGGCAAGCAGCAAATGATATCAGACCCAAGCGCCTGGGCCCTGCCACCATGCGGGAGACCCGGATGACATCATATCTCTCACTCTCTTTTCCCCATGTCTCTCTGATATTCTGACTTTCAAATAGATATGAGAGAAAGAGACAGAGAAATATAGTTTATTTTTTAGCTGGTGCTGTGGCTCAACAGGCTAATCCTCCGCCTTGCAGCCCCGGCACACCGGGTTCTAGTCCCAGTCAGGGCGCCGGATTCTGTCCCGGATGCCCCTCTTCCAGGCCAGCTCTCTGCTGTGGCCCGGGAGTGCAGTGGAGGATGGCCCAAGTGCTTGGGCCCTGCACCCGCATGGGAGACCAGGAGAAGCACCTGGCTCCTGCCATCGGATCAGTGCGGTGCGCTGGCCGCAGCGCGCCGGCCATTGGAGGGTGAACCAACGGCAAAGGAAGACCTTTCTCTCTCTCTCACTATCCACTCTGCCTGTCAAGAAAAATGTATATAGTTTATTTTTTAAAACAATTTATTTACTTATTTGAAAGGCAGAATTAGGGCCGGCGCCGCGGCTCACTAGGCTAAACCTCCGCCTAGCGGCGCCGGCACACCGGGTTCTAGTCCCGGTCGGGGCGCCGGATTCTGTCCCGGTTGCCCCTCTTCCAGGCCAGCTCTCTGCTGTGGCCAGGGAGTGCAGTGGAGGATGGCCCAGGTGCTTGGGCCCTGCACCCCATGGGAGACCAGGAAAAGCACCTGGCTCCTGGCTCCTGCCATCGGATCAGCGCGGTGCGCCGGCCGCAGTGCGCCAGCCGCGGCGGCCATTGGAGGGTGAACCAACGGCAAAAGGAAGACCTTTCTCTCTGTCTCTCTCTCACTGTCCACTCTGCCTGTCAAAAAAAAAAAAAAAAAAGAAAGGCAGAATTACAGAAAAAGAGGGGTAAGAGACAGAGAGAAAGGTCTTCCTTCTGTTGGTTCACTCTCCAGATGTCTACAACGGCCAGAGCTGGGCTGGTCTGAAGTTAGGAGCTTCTTCCAGGTCTCCCACATGGATGCAGAGTCCCAAGCACTCAAGCCATCTTCCGCTGCCTTCCCAGCCACATAACAGGGAGCTGGACCAGAAGTGGAGCAGCTGGGACTCCAACTAGCACCCATATGGGATGCCGGCACTGCAGGCAGTAGCTTAACCCGCTATGCCACAGTGCTAGCCCCAGTTTATGTTTATTTTAACCACAATTTAAGAATTGGTGAAAATGGGGGTGAACGTATTGGTGCAGTGGGGTAAACCACTGCTTGGGGTGCCTGCATTCCAAACTGGAGGGCCTGGTTCAAGTCCCAGCTTCTCCGCTCTAGATCCAGCGCCCTGCTACTGCACACCCTAAGAGGCAGCCGGCAATGCCCAAGTGCTTGAGCCCCTGCCACCCACACGGGAGACCTGTAGAGCGCCTGGCTCCTGCCTCTGGCGTGGCCCGGCCCTGGCTGCCGCAAGCATTTGGGGAGTGAGCCAGTAGGTGGAAGATGGATCTCTTTCTCTCTGCCGTTCTCTATCACTCTGTCTTTCAAACACATAAATAAAGGTAAAGATGATGCTTCACATGATGTTGATAATGGAATATAGCAGTCACGCTGAATTGTGCGAGTGAAGTGCAAGGTGACATAGCCCAGAGACGCTGTGTGACAGCAGGAGGCCCCGCTGTGGAGGAGCCCCAGGAAAGCTCCCAAAGCCCCCAGACCGCCAACCACAGCACAGGGCCACCTGGCGGCCCCATCGCCACGCTCAGGGCAAGCTGGCCGGGGTGGCCTGCAAAGCCGACCCTGCTGACGCCCACCGCGAGCGAGGCTGTGTGCTGCATCCACCTCAGAAGGCCTCAGCCCGGGCAGCTCCCAGGGAGAGGGAAGGGCAGGCACACTCCACGCTCCACACACACACGGGCGGCCACCGTGCCAGGTGCACGGCTCCTTCCTCTCCAGGCAGGAAGCCCTACATCAGCACCCTGGGAGGCTGCCCGCCCCCCGCCCCCAGCAGAGACAGGCACCTTTAGCACCGGCAAAAGCTCCAGGGCGGTTTTCCTTTGGTATCAAAGGCTGTACTTCAGGGTCACCAGAACAGCCAGGAGCCTTCCCACGGTCTCGTGCAGCTTAGCCAAGGTCAAGGACCATCTTTAAGATGTCAACTAATGGGGCTGCCATGTGGCCCAGCAGGTTGAGCCTGCGATGGTGGCATCACACAAGGCACCAATTTGAGTCCCGGCTGCTCCACTTCTGATCCAGCTCCCTGCTAAGGTGCCTGAGAAAACAGCGCAAGTGGCCCAGGTGCTTGGGCCCCTGCACCCACGTGGGAGACGAGGACAGAGTTCCAGGTTCCTGGCTTCAGCCTGGCCCAGCTGTCTGAAGAATGAACGAGTGGATGGAAGACCTCTCTCTCTCTCTCTCTCCTTCTCTGTAACTCTGCCTTTCAAATACAGAAATAAATCCCACGTAAAACAGAAAAGATGTCAACTAATTTTCAACAAAAGCTCCAAAGCAACATAATACAGAAAGGATGGCAGCTTCAACAAGTGGGGCCAGAACGACCGACGGCCACACACAGGGCGGGGACGGGCGAGCCGACCCCGCGCCACGTGGACACAGGAACAGCGAGCAGATCACAGGCGTGGCTGGGACAGTGAGAGCTGGAAAAGCTGCACACGACCAGCCGTGACCGCAAGCTTTGCCAGCGCGGAGTGACCAGCTCTCCCACAGCTGCAGGCGAGTGGCCACCAGCACTCCGTGCCACGGGACGTGACGAGAGCCTCCCCGAGCAGCTCTGGGACCAGCAATGCCTCCTACTCTGTCCCGGGACCACCGCCTCTGCCCCAAACCGCATCCACGTCCACCAGCCCTGCAGGGCGGAGCCAGGCCCGCGCCCCGCCCCGCCCCGCCCCGCCCCCAGGCCGCCTCACCTGATAGTCCTTCTGCAGCTGCACGGTGTGCACGAGGCTCTTGTCCAGGCACAGGGCCGCCAGCTTCCGGCAGGTGCGCCGCACGTTCAGGATCAGGTCTGTGCTGGGCACGTGGCTCAGGATGTGCAGCAGGATCTCGTCCGAGAAGCCCAGCAGGTGGGTGCCGCTGGCCACCCCGGCCGCCGCGGGGGCTGCGTCCTCGTCACTGGACATGTCCTGAAAATCAGAGGGGACACCAGATTCCCACGGGATCCCCACGGGCAGCCACCAGCCCGGCCGGCCCAGCTGGGGAGAGAAGAGAGGCCCCCTTCAGTCTGTGGGAAAGAAGGTGGGTTTAGCAAAACCCTTAAGTGCACGGCAGGAGACTCCAGACGCTTTCCAACCTGCAAACCAGGATCTCTCTTCTACAGGGAACACGGACACAGCAGGTTCAGCCCCCCGGTTCTACAGTGAACACGGACACAGCAGGTTCAGCCCCCCGCGACGCCCGCCCCCCGCTGGAGCACTGGGATGCAGTCCCAACGCTGCTTCTGATCCAGCTCCCTGCTAACGCGCCTGAGCAGCAGAGGCTGGCCCACCCACGTGGGAGAGCAGGATGGAGTGCCCGCCTCCTGCTGTCAGCCCGGCTCAGCCGCCTACTGCTGAAGGCATTGGGGGGAATTAACCGGAAATCTATCCTCTGTCAAATAAATAAAGTGAATCAACATTTTAAAATGATACATTTATGCATTTTAAAAAACTAAAGGATTAGGACCAGTCACCAAGGCCCTCCACTATGTAGCTGCCGCCCCCTCCCCTCTGTCCCAAATGTCAAGGCAGACGAATCTGGCAAACCCTGGAGACCTGCTGAGCACAAGACGGGCGCCCTCGCCGCCCAGAGCTGCTGTGGCAGTGACACGACACCGTCACGTGTGTCAAGTCCCCAGAGCAACGTCTGGGACAGAGGCCCGCCTTGGGGGAGGTGAAACTGGAGGGACCGCCCCAGAGGAGGAGGCTGCACGAAGCCTCCTGAAGGCACAGCCGCAGGGACCGCCCCGCTCTCCCCGGCTGCTCCGGGCGAGCCGTGCTGACACCCCCACACCAGCACATGACAGGCCTGTGTCTGCACTGCAGGGGCAAGCCTCGCCTGCCATCAGTCCCCAAGTCACACGGCGCAGCACACGCTGACAGCCACTCCACTGTCTTACATGTCCGCGGGTCACCTGCAGACACGACGCCACTTGACAGCAGGGAGCGGAGCGCCCCCGGGGGCCGGGGACCAGACACCAGGCGAAGGAGCATCTCCCTTGCTGAGATCTCCGGCGAAACACAGGACACCCTGTCCTAGGGGGCCACGGGCCTCTGCTCCCAATGGCCCGGGCTTTTGGATGCGCAGGAGTGACCTCCGCCACTCTGCCAGTGACACAGGAAATGCCAGGACAAAGGAATGCCGCGGACCCCGAGGACCCCGGCCGAGGGGAGCAGGGACCCTGCCCCTCTAGTGACCACTCCCAGAAGAGCACCTGGAGTCGCTGCCTTCCTGCCTACAGCAGGCCCTGTCCCCACCCTGCTTCCTGTTCCCATGTGCAGCTCTGGGTCTGAAAGCCCTGCTGCTGCCATGGCAACCGTGAAGGCCTGGCAGAGAGCCGTCTGCACACGCCACGCAGGCTCGCGCTCTCCCGGGAACTGACAGCAACGTCCCTCTCACCCCTCCTGCCCAGCCCTCGGCAGACCCAGACAGGTGTCCAGGGATCAAAGAAGGATCCTGCACCTTCCACTAGAGAACACCACCGCGGACACCCAGGAAGGGACGGGGCCGACGCCAGGGCCCGGGGCTTCTCTGTCCTCCCCACGCCCTTCCGCAGGAGGCGGGAGGCAGCTGCACGCCAGGCCACCGCTGCACTGCGTCCCTTTGTTCGGGTCTGCTGTTGGCGGCAGCAGTGACTCCCTGGTGGCACGGGGTCTCCCAGACGCCACACCACCCAGGCACCTCTTAAGACGCAGCGACGCTGGGGCAGGCACCTGCCATGCTGCCATCCCACAGGCGCATGGGCTCAATCTTAACCACGCTGCTTCCCATACAGCTCCCTGCTAACGCGCCCGGCAGCGCCACAGAGGACTGGACCCCCGCCACCCCCGTGGGGGACCGGATGGAATCCCCTCGCCCTGGCTGTTGCGGCCATCTGGGAAGTGAACCAGTGGATGAAAGATATTTCTTTCTCTTTCTCCCTCCCCGCCCCCTCCTTTCTGCCTTCAAATAAATAATCTTAAAAAAAAAATCAGGGTGCTGACACTGTGGCACAGTGGGTTAATCCCGCAGCGCCAGCATCCCATATGGGCACCAGTTCTAGACCCCGCTGCTCCTCTTCCCATCCAGCTCTCTGCTATGGCCTGGGACAGCAGTGGAAGATGGCCCAAGTGCTTGGACCCCTGTGCCCGCGTGGGAGACCTGGAAGAAGCTCCTGGCTCCTGATCAGCGCAGCTCCAGCCGCTGCAGCCATCTGGGGAGTAAACAACGGAGGGAAGAGCTTTCTCTCTGTCTCTACCTCTCTCTGTCTGTAACTCTACCTCTCAAATAAATAAAATCTTTAAAAAAAAAAAATTAGAAGTCACAGAGGGGAAAAAAGATAAAACCAGCAAGGACTTTCAAAACCAGATACTGCAATTCTGAAATCAGATATCAGGAATCAGATATCTGAAATCAGATAGCAATGCACAGCCTTATGCATACAGCTTAAAGAAAAAAACCTGAACTGTGGGGCCCACGATGTGGCACAGTGGCTAAACCCCCATCTGCAACACCAGTGTCTCATGTGGGCACTGGTTCAAGTCCTGGTTGCTCCACTTCCAATCCAGCTTCCTGCTAACACACCTAGGAAAGCAGCGGATGATGGCCCTGTCACCACCGACATGGGAGACCTGGACAGTACCTGGCTCCTGGTTTTGGCTGGGTTGCTGCAGACATTTTTTGTTGTTTGTTTTGTTTTGTTTGTTTTTGACAGGCAGAGTGGACAATGAAAGAGAGAGAGAGACAGAGAGAAAGGTCTTCCTTTGCCGTTGGTTCACCCTCCAATGGCCGCTGTGGCCAGCGTGCTGCAGCCGGCGCACCGCGCTGATCCGATGGCAGGAGCCAGGTGCTTCTCCTGGTCTCCCATGGGGTGCAGGGCCCAAGCACTTGGGCCATCCTCCACTGCACTCCCTGGCCACAGCAGAGAGCTGGCCTGGAAGAGGGGCAACCGGGACAGAATCCGGCGCCCCGACCAGGACTAGAACTCGGTGTGCCGGCGCTGCAAGGCGGAGGATTAGCCTAGTGAGCCACGGCGCCGGCCGCTGCAGACATTTTTTAAAAGACTTTTTTATTTGTTTGTTCGTTTGAAAGACAAGGTGGCAGAGGAAAAAACAAGAGCAACAAAGACAGACATAGATCTTCCATCTGCTGGTTCACTCCCTACATGTCCACAACAGCCTGGGTCGGGCCAGGCTGGAACCAGGAGCTCCATCCGGGTCTCCCAGATGGGTAGCAGAGACCCAGGAAGTTGGCCCGTCATCCACTGTTTTCTCGGGTGCAGTAGCAGGGAGCTGGGTAAGAAGTGGCGCCACAATGCTGGCCCCTGTTGCAGGCATTTGGGAATGAACCCACAGATGGAAGACATGTGTCTCCCTATCACTTTGCCTTTCAAATAAATAAATCTTGAAAGAAAAAAAAAAAAGACACTAGGAAAGATGTCCACATTCCCTGGTTCACTGCCCAGCTGCAAGCCCAAGTGGGGAGACCCGGATGGGGTTCCTGGCTCCCGGATTCATCACAGGCATTTGCAAAGTGAACCAGGGATGGGATTCTGTTCTCCCTCAAAAAAAGGGCAGAGGGAGCCGGCGCAGTGGCTCACTTGGTTAATCCTCCACCTGCAGCGCCGGCACCCCATATGGGCACCGGGTTCCAGTTCCGGTTGCCCCTCTTCCAGGCCAGCTCTCTGCTGTGGCCCGGGAGTGCAGTGGAGGATGGCCCAGGTGCTTGGGCCCTGCACCCCATGGGAGACCAGGAAGAGGCACCTGGCTCCTGGCTTTGGATCGGCGCAGCGCACCAGCCGTAGCAGCCATTTGGGGGTGAACCAATGGAAGGAAGACCTTTCTCCCTGTCTCTCTCTCTGTCTATAACTCTACCTGTCAAATGAAAAACAAAACAAAACAGCAGAAAGGAGAACCTGCTTGGGGAGCCCGGGTTTCTGGGTTGGAGTCCCGGCTCTGCCTTTGACTCCAGCTCCCTGCCAATACGCACCCTGGGAGGCCCCAGACCACGGGCAGTCTCCGTCACCCACCGGGACCCCAGACTGTTTGAGGCTCCTGGCTAACAGACACTCGGAGACTGAGCCACAGACGGAGGTATGTGTGTGTGTGCGTGTCCTTCGGATACACAGACAGAAGTTTCTCAAGTGTCAATCACACAATGAAGGAACTATATCGCAATGAATGTGCAAAGCTTGAGCGTCCCAGAGGCCGGGGGCGCCGAGCCACACCAGGCTCCCATCTTTCCTCCACCCAGGAGAAGCCCCCGGGGCAACCCGCAGGACCAGGACGCGGCAACACCCAGCTGACAGGCCCCCACGCCCCCCGCCGCACCCCACCGCCACCAAGCCCGATCCACCGACCCGGCCGGGCTGCCCCAGAGCCCCTCCCCGGCAATTCTGTCATCCCTCTGCAGCTGGCCCGCGTACTGCTCCTGACAAGCGAGGGGCCATTTCCGAGCCAAATTCAGTCCAGATAAAGAGGCGCCGGCAGCAGCCCCCAGCCGTCTTCCCCTCCACTCTCCGACTCCTTCCCGCTCCCTAGAACTCGGGCAAGCCCCTGAGACCCACGCGGGACGGTCTGAGTCCCCGAGTGACAGACAGAAGCAGGGGCGCACACAGGTGGGCAGGAAGCCACCAGGGTCTCCAGGAGACCCCCGATTCGCGGAGCGGCCTGGAAGGGGCCCCAGCGCGAGTCCCGAGCCTCCAGGTGAAATGGCTTTTCCTCCACTCGCGCCAATTCAGAGAGGAGGAGGGCGGCGGAGGCCAACGCAGCACCCGGAGATGCACTACGCGGGTGGGCAGTGGGCACGGAGCGGCCGCGTCCCGGACCCACGGCGCAGGAGCGCGGGGCCGGGGCCTGGGGGCGGCCGAAGAGGGCCGGGGGCCGGCCTGTGCCGCCAGGGGCAGCGCGCGGGACGGGGCAAAGGCCAGGGAGGCGAGGTCAGGCCCCGGCCGAGCAGAGCTCGGGACGGGCAGGACCAGCCGGGCAGGGGCCCAGAAGGCAAAGGAGACACAGGGTGGCCGGGGCTCGGGGCGGGCAGCGAGCAGAGCCGCCAGGCGCGGGCCCGTACCTCTCCGGAGCTCGCCATGTTGCGGGCCGGTCGGCCGTGTCCGCTGGAGCCGCGGCCCCGGGAACCGAAGCCGGCCCCGCCAGGGATGCTCCAAGCCGGGGCGTCCGCGGCTCAGCAGAGACCGCGGCCGGGGGCGGGGCCTCGGCCACTTCCGGCGCCCGCGGAACGCACTTCCGTCCGCGCCCGGGCGGGCCCTCGCTCGGCGGCCATGTTGGGTGTGGCGCTGCCCGGGCGCGGAGCAACCGAGAAAGCCGCCATTGGCTTCCGCCTGCTCGCAGGGCTCGGTCCCCAGCTCCCCTGCCCTTTGCGCGCCTCTCTGCAGCCATCCTGGCCTCCTCCTGTGGTCCCGGACCGCTGCCCCTGCCCACTGCCTGCTGTTAGCAGCGTCAGCCACAGCCTCCCTGGGCCCCCGGCCCGCGCGCGTCTTCCTGGGGCTCTGCACCTGCCAAGCTGCTGTTAGCGCTTCGTTTATACCCCCCCCCCCCCAGTGCTTGACCACAGAGGCAGAATCTGCCACCTCCCTGCGTGGCTCAGCCCTGAGGGAGTATTTGCTGGACGCCCTTGCTGCTAGCATTTGCCTGTAACGGGGTAGTGTATGAATTTAAAAAAAAAAAAAAATTTTTTTTTTTCTTGTTTAAATCATTCCTGGAGTCAGAAAGAAGTGCGTTTGGTTTCGGTGCAAAGTAGCGCGAAGCCTGGGCCGGGGCCCCCGCACCCCACATCCGAGTGCCCCTCCGAGTCCCCGCAGCTGGCCTTGGGATCCAGCTCCCTGCCCGCGCGCCTGGGGAAGCTTGGCCCTGAGCCCCTGCACGCACGTGGGAGACACAGATGGAGCTCGCGGCTCCTGGCTTCCGTCTGACCCGGCCCTGGCTGCTGGGGGCACCTGCGGCGTGAACTTGTCGATGGGAGATGTCTCTCCCTCTCTCTGGCTGTGCCACTCTGCCTTTCAAATAATTCGGTTTTTAATTTTTTTTTTTTTAAAGATGGTGGGGCTGTTGGCACAGTGGGTTTAACCGACACCTCTGGCTCTGGCACTGGCCCTGGCTCGAGTCCCGGCTGCTCCACTTCCGATCCAGCTCTCTGCTAATGCACCTGGGAACCAGTGGAAGGTGGCCCAAGTGCACGGCCCCTGCCACGCATGTGGGCTCCTGTGGGCTTGGCCTGGGTCAGTCCCTGGCCATTGCAGCCATCTGGAGAGCGAACCAGCAGACGGAAGACCTCTCTCCCTCTTCTCTGTCACTGACTTTCCAATAAATAACTCTTTTAGAAAAGTTTAATAAAACAATTTTAAAAAGAAGACCGTACATGTTCCTAGGGCACACCGTGTTTTCCAACATTGCGTAACATGCACATCAAGATAAGCATATTTGTCTCCTCAAGCATGTTATCATTTGTGGGGAAAACATTCCAGATCCTCCCAGCCTTTTTTTGGGGGGGGGGGATTTTTTTCGTCTTCCAAGGAAACAGTCGCTGGATTCAAGGGACCTTCTAATCCAGTCTGAGCTCATCTCAGCTGATTGCCATCTGCAGAGCCTCCTTCCAGATACGGTCACATTCTGAGGTCCCAGGTGCACAGGAATCCCGGAGTCACTCCCAGGCCGGCAGCCTCGGATCATGCCCCACCCCCAGCCTCCCGCCTCTGTGGAGCCCCAGCAGGCAGGGCGGGCAGTGCCTGGACGGTTACTCACCAGCTGAGCACAACTTCAGACAAAGACCCGCGCCAGTGGGGGTTCAGTTCCAGCTGCAGCAAGCATGGTGTGTGTGTGTGTGTGTCCAGGATGTGTGTGTGAATTCCAGCTCCAGCAAGTATGGTGTGTGTGTGGGGGGGTGTGACGTTCCCAGGGACCATGTGTGGGTGTGTGTGTGAGGTTCCCAGGGGTCGTGTGTGTGTGTGTGTCTGGGTGTGTGTGTGAGGTTCCCGGGGCCATATGTGTGTGTGTGTGTGTGGTGGGTGTGTCTGGGGTGTATGTGTGAGGTTCCCAGGGGCCGTGTGTGTGTGTGTGTGTGTGTCTGGGGTGAGTGTGTGAGGTTCCCAGGGGCCGTGGGGGGGTGTGAGGTTCCTGGGGGCCGTGTGGGGGGGGTGGGGGGTGTGAGGTTCCCGGGGGCCGTGTGTGTGGGTGGGTGTGTGTGTGTGTGTGAGGTTCCCGGGGGCTGTGTGTGTGTCCGGGTGTGTGTGAGGTTCCCGGGGGCCCAAGTGTCTCCCACACTCTCCCCCACCCCCAGCTTCCTCTCTCCCTGCCCAGCCCTGCAGGCAGCTGTGACCCTACCCAGCAGGCCTCCTGCCCACCTCCCAGCAGGGCCCCGGCGCCCCGCCCCACCCCGCCCCACCCGGTCTGGGAGGAGGCAGGTTTCCCCTGCGGCTTCCTTGTCCCCTTCCCCGGAACAGGGCATGGCAGCAGCCGGTTGGTGACAAACGTTGGCCGTAGAAGCGAGATCGTGGGATTGGTGTCCAGCGTCCTGGCGCCATGCAGTCCCTGATGCTGTCACCAAGGTCCACGTGAGGAGGGCGCCTCAGGTCGGGTCAGGGTGGTCTTTCGCCCCCCAGCCCCTCATAGTCCGTCCACGGGAATGTCACCTGTCCATGGTGGGGTCAACGCTGTCATCTTGCAGAGCACAGAACTCCACAAGAGACCGAAGCTGGGATTTGAAATCCAGAACCTACCAGAAGCAGCCGAGCAAGGGCTCTGATTCAGCCCCTGGGCTATGGCAGGGTGGAGAGAACCCTCCAACCCTCTCCCCTCGACCTGGGAGGGGTGAATGGGGGCTTTGATGGAGCCTGCGGGGAGAGCCCGCCTCCCCATGGTGGCCTTACCTGTGCCACACACAGGCCATCTTCAGAGACAGCCTCCTCAGAACTTTTTTTGTTTTGTTTTCATTTTTAAAGATTTATGTATTTGAAAGGCACAGTTACAGAGAGACAGACAGGTCCTCCATCCACTCCCCAGATGGCTGCAAGGGCCGGAGCTGCGCCAATCTGAAGTCAGGAGCCAGGAGCTTCTTCCGGGTCTCCCATATGGGTGCAGGGGCCCAAGCACTTGGGCCATCTTCTACTGCTTTCCCAGGCCACAGCAGAGAGCTGGATCAGAAGCAGAGCAGACAGGACTCAAACCAGTGCCCACATGGGATGCTGGCACTGCAGGTGGTGGCTTTACCCACTAAGCCACAGCGCTGGCCCCCAGGCTAGGGTTTTGAAGGCTCCATGAATTCTCTGAGCTCCACCAATTCCACATTGACTTTTTAAAAAAATTTATTTATTCTAATGGTTTATTTTGCAGGGCGTAACAGCTTAAAACACCGCCTGCAACGCTGGCCATATGGGTACCAGCTCCCCGCTAGTGCGCCTGGGAAAGCAGTGGAAGATGGTCCAAGTGCTTGGGCCCCTGCACCAACATGGGAGACCCAGAAGGAGCTCCGGGCTCCTGGCTTCGGCCTGGCCCAGCCCCAGCCATTAATGGCGGCCATTTGGGGAATGGATCAGTGAATGGATGCGCTCTCTCTCTCTCTCTTAGTAACTCAGGAAAGAAGGTGCCCTTCCCCCAGACGATGGAAGTCTTCCACACAAAAAAGGGCCGGGGCAGGAGAGGTGGAGCACAGGAAGAAACCTCGGCTCCCGCGACGGGTGGCACAGACCCACGCGAGCCTGTAGGACACACAGCCGCGGGCAGGCGGGACCCAGGGTGAAGGTGAGGTCTCAGCCAACGCCGTCTGCGCAGGGTGACAATCGCAGCCCTCGTATGAGCACTGGGGAGGCTCTGGGCCTGCAGGACAAGGAGCGTGACTGTGGTCCCTTGGAAGCAGCAAGTCCCTTAGTTTTTTTTCAGTGCACGTCTGACCTTGTGGCTCATCTCTGCACAGGGCCTGTGCACGTGCTGCGTGCTGTCCTGGGGTGCGACTCTGGCTGATTCCTCTTCGTCTTCCCCCACCCTGTGACCTCCCGTGCCCTCAGTGTTCCTGGGTGACATCTGTCACAGCGGGCCACCAGGCGTCCGCACAAGAGGCTGCTGGACACTCAACATGGGGTCTGTGTGATTGAGCATCAAATCCCTACCTTGGCATAAGTGAGACAGCCACAGGCAGCCAGTGGCACCCACAGGAGACGGCGCGACAAGCTTAAAGGACAGCAAGGGCGGGACAATGGCCCCGTGTCACTGCTGTACCCCCAACACCTAGCACAACGTGGCTGCTCCAAACACAAGCACAGGGTGCGTGGTGATTGAACAGGTTCCGTCCCCCGAGGGTCTCCAGGCCATCCCTGTGCCCAGCCCCCTCCCCACGCTCAGCCAGCAGCAGCAGCGTGGGCTCCAAGCCCACACTGAGGCTGCCTTCTCAGGGCTGTCTTACTCCCAGCCCTGCAGGCTCCCTCTGTCCTCTCCCCACTGGGCTCCGGGAAGAGGCGCCATGATGAAGGGGATGACCCAGGGTTCCCCGGGCCCCAGCGCTGCCTCAGTGGGGAGCCCCCGTCTGTCTCAGGGCAGAGCAAGGGGAGCTGCACCTGCGAGGCTCAGGCTGTGAATGAGAGAATCAGAGGGCGACTTTGTCACTGCAGGGAAGGCACTGACCAGGCTTTATGGGTGCCAGGGTCACAGGCGGAGAACTGCCCAGGTGGGGTGGGGCAGCAGCCTCGGTTTCCCAGCCTGTACAATGGGTGCTGGGAGCAAGCCCAGAGGGAGTGTCACCTTCTCTGGCTCACAATGGCTTGGATCCGAGTTCCTGAGGCTGCCCCAAGCCAGGCCTCAACCGGACAAGCCTGGCTCCTGAACCCGGAGGCGAGGGGGTGGGGCCGGAGGCTTCCCATAGCTGCGCTTCTGAGACTTTAAAAGGAAAAGGCACCTGCTCGCCACCACGCCTCCCCTGCTGCAGCCACGGGCAGCGATGACCTGATCGGAGGGTTCCAGGTCGCTCTGGGACCTGCAGGCCACACCACTGACCCAGGTGGCTCTCCGGGGAGCTTCCTTCTCCCAGGACAGCTGCGCCCCGCCCACCCGCCAGTCTGCCCAGTTTTATAATCCATCGTACCTGTGTTTTGTCCAAAAAAGGCAAAATGACTGGTTTCCAACATCCTCACTTCTCCCTTACAGCTCTACTGTGGCACAAACTGGTGCATCTTGGTATCCGCACCGTGAAGGCGCCACAGCCAAGGCCGGTGTGACCATGTGTGACTGGAAAGGTAGAGTGACCCGGAGAAGGGAGAGCGAGCTTCCATCCTGGGCAAGGTCAGCTCAGAACCCCAGGTGCCCTGGGTGCGGGGAGGGGGCAGGAACCCAGGCCCTGTTGCAAGAAGCTGGGTGAGACAGTAGCTGGAACTGTAACCAGGTACTGCCCTGAGATGCGCTTCCGCTGCCTTGTCACAAAGCCTGTGTGCCTGGTGACAGCCTTTCTCCCACGCCAACCTGGGTCTGCCCCCGGATGGTGGCAGGGCCTCCGCGCAGGCCACCTCAGGAGCTTCACCCTGACCTCCTTCCCGGTGCTCCAAGGTGGGCTTGGACACTGCTTGCAAGCCCCACGAGGGCTCTCTGGACCCCTAGGACCCCTAAGACAGCACCAGGCGAGGGCCGCGCCCTCCCCACCTCTGGGGAGCCAGGCTGGAGGCCTTGGAACCCGTCCCTGCTAGGTCAGGTGTGTTTGCAGAAGCTGGGCACCAAGGCCGCTTAGTGCAGGTCCCCCACGAACCCACTGGAGCCATCCCCAAACCGCCGACCAGCTCCCTCGGATGCAGCGGAGTGACCCTGGGCCACAGATTTGTCTTGGAAGGCCCCTGAGGATGGCTTAGGAGCCCCCACCTTCCCACAATACCAATTGTAGGATACCAGACAGCCCAGTAGTGCTGCGCTCAGCCCTAGACACCAACCCTGCCCCACCCCCGGCTGTCCCCCAGAGCCCAAGAAGCACCCCCCCAGTCCCCGGCTGTCCCCCAGAGCCCGAGAAGCACCCCCCCAGTCCCCGGCTGTCCCACAGAGCCACAGAGCCAGGCCTCGTGTGTTCAGGTGTGCACTTTTATTGAACTGGTCTCGTCAGTGTACAGGGAAGCCCTGGCTGCCTCCACACCTCAACCCACTCCCAGGGAGACCAAAAGCCTTCATACATCTCAAGTTGGGGGACAAAAAAGGGGGGGCCACGATGGCTGACCATTCAAAATAAAAAGAAAATTAAAAAAAGTATTAAGGCGAAGATTTAAAAAATTTGCATTACATAATTTACACAAATGCGATGCTGCCGCCTCCCCTGGGTGGCCCCGGGCGGGCGAGGACTGCGCCTTCTCCTTGGCAGGAGTGGGGCGGGGGCTTCCCGTCACATGGCATCTCACGATATTTGGAATGACTATCAAAAGAAAAAAAAAAAAAAACAATGTACAATCAAAGTCCTCGGCCACATTGCAGAACTTTGGGGACTTTGGGGATGCTCGCTCCAACGACTGCTGTCACCTTCACCGTTCCAGTTTTTAAATCCTGAGTCAAAAGCGCCAAAACAAAAAAAAAAAAAAACAAAAAAAGAAAAAAAAAAAAAACACGAATAAAGCCATGCCAATCTCGTCTCGTTTCTGCGCGTTAGGTTTCGTCGAGAGAGGGTGTCCCGCCACTGCGGCTAACAGTCCGCCTAGAAGCACTTGCGGTGCACGATGGAGGGGCCCGACTCGTCATACTCCTGCTTGCTGATCCACATCTGCTGGAAGGTGGAGAGCGAGGCCAGGATGGAGCCGCCGATCCACACCGAGTACTTGCGCTCCGGGGGCGCGATGATCTGCGGGGGGGAGGGGACAGGGGTCAGAGGCTGCGCGGAACCTGGGCCCGGGCGCGCCTCGCGCTGGCCGGGGACGGCCGCTCACCTTGATCTTCATGGTGCTGGGCGCCAGGGCGGTGATCTCCTTCTGCATGCGGTCGGCGATGCCGGGGTACATGGTGGTGCCGCCCGACAGCACCGTGTTGGCGTACAGGTCCTTGCGGATGTCCACGTCGCACTTCATGATCGAGTTGAAGGTGGTCTCGTGGATGCCACACGACTCCATGCCTGTGCGGCAGAACCAGAGTGAGCGTCCAGGCCGCGGCCACAGGGCAGCCGGGCTGGGGCGGGGGCGGGCCGGCGGCCCCTACTCACCCAGGAAGGAGGGCTGGAACAGCGCCTCGGGGCAACGGAAGCGCTCGTTGCCGATGGTGATGACCTGGCCGTCGGGCAGCTCGTAGCTCTTCTCCAGGGAGGAGGAGGACGCGGCCGTGGCCATCTCCTGCTCGAAGTCCAGCGCCACGTAGCACAGCTTCTCCTTGATGTCCCGCACGATCTCGCGCTCGGCCGTGGTGGTGAAGCTGTAGCCGCGCTCCGTGAGGATCTTCATGAGGTAGTCGGTCAGGTCCCGGCCGGCCAGGTCCAGACGCAGGATGGCGTGCGGCAGCGCGTAGCCCTCGTAGATGGGCACCGTGTGGGTGACCCCGTCACCGGAGTCCATCACGATGCCCGTGGTGCGGCCAGAGGCGTACAGGGACAGCACGGCCTGGATGGCCACGTACATGGCCGGCGTGTTGAACGTCTCGAACATGATCTGCGGGGAAGGGGCGGGGGCGGGTCAGGCTCGGCCAGGCGCCCCGGGGGGACGGCAGCCAGGCCAGACCGGGCACATGCAGAGAGTGCAAGAACACGGCTCAGTGCGCTGGGAACTGGGGACGGGGGTTCCGTTCACACCTACTGTGCACCTACTGAATACACAGCCTGGGTTAGTACCTACACCCACAGCACTTTAGGGGTTTATGAACACCTAGCAGGAGAGACAAGACACCAGAAAGAGTAGGGCTCGTCTGGAGCAAAGCAAACAGAACCTGCAGAGGTCCAAGGGAGACTCAGGTCAGAGGAGAGAGTCCTAGAGAATGGCAGAAGAGAGAGGACGTGAGACAGCGCCCGGCGGCCGGGGCCGGCGAGGCGGCGGGCGCGGCCGCGGCCACTGACCTGGGTCATCTTCTCGCGGTTGGCCTTGGGGTTCAGGGGGGCCTCGGTCAGCAGCACCGGGTGCTCCTCGGGCGCCACGCGCAGCTCGTTGTAGAAGGTGTGGTGCCAGATCTTCTCCATGTCGTCCCAGTTGGTCACGATGCCGTGCTCGATCGGGTACTTGAGCGTCAGGATGCCACGCTTGCTCTGGGCCTCGTCGCCCACGTACGAGTCCTTCTGGCCCATGCCCACCATCACGCCCTGGGGGGAGAGGAGAGGGGCACGGCGGCTCAGCGACCCCGCCTCACACCGGGACCCCCGGGCCCGCTCCACCCCCAGGTCCCCTCCACGGGGACCTCCGCCCCGCTCCACCCCCAGGCCCCCCCGTGGGGACCCCCGCCCGCTTCCGAGGGGAGGCTCCACCCCCAGGCCCTCCCCACAGGGACCCCCGCCTCACCTGGTGCCGCGGACGCCCCACGATGGAGGGGAAGACGGCCCGGGGGGCATCGTCGCCCGCGAAGCGGGCAGCTCGTGCATCAGCTCGGATGGGCCAGGGCCAAGGACGGGAGCGGCGATATCGTCATCCATGGTGAGCTGTGGGGTGGGGGGTGGGACACAGCGGCGCCGTCAGCCCGGGGGTCGCGGGTGGGGCCGCCCCCGCCCTGCCCACTTCCGGCGCGCCGCGGCCTCGGGCCGCCAGGGGGCGCCGGCGCACGCCCGGATGGGGGACAAAGGAAACCAGGCCCGGCCGCGTTATTACCATAAAAGGCAAACGCTGGTCGGAGGCGGCCCCGCGGCGCGCGGCAGGAAGCCAGGCCCCCGCCCCCTCCTCCGCACCGCGCGCCGGCCCCGCCCCCGCCCCGCTTCCAACTGCGCCCAGCGGCCGAGAGGCGCGCGCATGCGCGCGCGCGCGCCCCGGCCACACCCGCCGGCGGCCCCGCGCAGGAAGTATGCGCATGCGCCTGAGCGCCGCGGAGACCCCACCCCTTCCGGCCGGCCCCGCCTTCGTCCCAGCCCGGGACGCGGCGCCCCGGGCCCCAATGCGCATGCTCAGCAGTGTCTCAGAGTGCGCACCCCCACACGCACCCCACCCCAAAGACACCCGACAAGGCCCGGCCGGTGCAGCCGGCCCCGCCGCACCCACCCGCCCCGGACAAAGACCCTCCGACCGGCCTGGCCCCGACGGCAGCGCCTGCGGGGCGCGCCCCCAGCCCGGCCCGGGGCTCCCGGGGTGGAGGGATGCGCCCTTCGCCGCCGCCGGCGCGGGGCGAGCTGGCCCCGGCGTCTCCGGCGCGGCGGCCCGAGGGGCTCGGCCGTGCGGGGCGCGGAGGGGCGCGCGGCCTTACCTGAGCGGGAGTGTGGCGCGGCGGCGGAGCGGCTGGGCGAGGTGCGGTGGTCGCGAGCTGGACGCGGTCTCGGCAGTGGCTGCGCGCCGCGCCGCCGGGTTTTATAGGGCGCCGCCGCGGCCGCTCGAGCCATAAAAGGCAACTTTCGGAACGGCGCGCGCTGATTGGCCCCGCGCCGCTCACTCACCGGCCTCGCCGCACAGTGCAGCATTTTTTTTTACCCCCTCTCCCCTCCTTTTGCAAAAAAAAAAAAAAAAAAAAGAGAGCGAGAGCGAGATTGAGGAAGAGGAGGAGGGAGAGAGTTTTGGCGTTGGCCGCCCTTGGGTGCTGGGCCCACGGCCGGGGTGCGCCCTGGCCCCCCGCCCCCTCAGCAGTGCCCGCGCCCGGCCCGCGTGGCCAGGCCTGGACCCTCTGCCTGCCCCGCGCCCTCATGGCCAGCGGCCACCCCGGGACCCTCTGGGGGTGCATGGCACAGGGCGACCGAGTGCGCAGGGGGCGAGGGTCCGCGACCCCGTGCCAGGGGCCGCTTAAGGCGCCCATGTGGGACATGGCGTGGCCGGGGCGTCACTCCCTGACCGACTGCAGCGCCCCTCCCCAGCAGGCCTTAGCGGCGGTGGGCAGAGACTGGGGCTGGGGGCCAGGGTGTGGTGTGCGAGTTTGGGGGTGGGGGTGGGGGCTTGTGTCAGTCTAGGGGCCCCGGAGCCACACCCGAGCGCAGGGCAGGCCCAGGGCCCAGTGGCTGGTGGGGAGCTGACTTGCTTTGCTAGGGGAGGGAGTTGTCTGAATCGGGGAAACTTGGCCATCAGCCACGCTTGCACCCAGCCAAGGCCAGCCCCCCCCCGGGGGGGGGCAATTAGCTGGCGACCCATGCAGCTGTCAGGCTTGGATTCCTGGACCCACCATCCGTTATCTGTCGCGGAAGCCACAGTTGGACTGTCCTGGATCACTAGGGACTTGGGAGCGAGCATCAGGGGGCCAGAAAGGAGCTGGGGGGCACAGTAGGGGGTTATAGCCGGTGGGGGAAGACCCTGGCTCCCCCCCACCCCGGGCCTGCTCCTTGAGCATCAGGCAAGACCCCTGTGTGCAGGAGCGTTCCCTGGCAGAGAGAAAGCCCCCACCAAAGGGCGGCCCCCACTCAGCGATCGGGGACCCTGGAGGCACTGACCGGAAGCTGGGCTTTGACATAGGAACGGGAGGGGTGGGCGTCCGGGGCCTGCACAGCACACAGTAGGGGCTCCGTGCGTGTGCTGAGCACAGCCGCAGATCCGTCCATATATGGATGCAGAACCTGCAGCCGGGAAGCCCTGGTTGGTCCAGCTCCGAGCCCGGGCTGGGGGCAGGGCGCTGTGCAGGTTGAGGCCAGGTGGGAAGGGTGACCCTGGGGATGGAGCAGCAGCCGTGGGCCAGTGTTCCCCGGGAATCGCCAGAGACTGCCAGAGCTCCCCCGCCAGCGCCCGGGGCTGGGAGAACTTTCCCAGCCTGTCCACTCCCTGCCTCCCGGGGCCGGGACTGCCCTGGCCTTGTATCTGTGTTTCGGCGACCTGCCAGCTGAATCGGGACCTGCCAAACCTGCACTGCACTGGGCCAGGGTGGGGGTGGGGACGGAGGACCCTTTCTGCGGGGCCGGGGGTGGGAGGCCCTGGGGCAACTCCCGGCAGCCACGCGGGGTAGGGAGCAGACCTGATCCCCAAGCAGGACCTGTGGCACCACTTTGTGCCTCTTAACCAGTTGCTGGCCATGGGGCAGGAGCTCCAGCCCCACCCGGCCTCAGACTGGAACTTTCCTGGCCCGTCCTGCTGGCTTGTGGTTTCTATCCACAGTGGCCCTGGTGCTCTCCTATGCACCCTTCAAAGCCCATTCCGGAAGGCCCCTCCATGGGGGACCCCTGTAGCATCTGCAGCCTGCAGCGTGGGTGGGCCTTCTCCCTCCCCCTCCCCCGCCACTTCAGCTGGTGCCACTGGGCTGTCGTTCTAACCCAGCCTCTCCCACAAAACCATGAGCCCTCCGAGGGTCTCCAGTCACCCCACCACCCCAGGTGGCTCTGCTGTGTCGAATGAGTGAGCAACTGCCCGGTGTCCACGGCCTCGGAGAGGACCCCGGAGGACACTGCGGGTCAAGAGGGGGCCAGGCCGCGAGGCTGGGGTCGGGGGCGGAGGAGCTGCAGAGAGAAAGCAGGCAGGGGACCAGGGAAAGAGGAAGTGGAGCCGGGGCTGGGGGAGGGGCGGGCCAGAGAGGAAGTGAGCAGGTTCGAAGGCGCCTGGGAACTTTGGCCCGGTGGGGAGTTTTCAGCCAGAGCAGGCTGGGGCCGCCGGGAGCCCTCGGGCTGGCTCAGCCAATGGGACTCCACCTGCCTCTCAAACATTCTTTTGCCCTGCACGCTTCGTGCTTGTAGTTCCTCACCCACCAGGGCCTCGGGCAAGGGAACCTACACAGCCCGCACACGCACCGGAGATGGCTCCCGGCCTCAACCACACAGCATGCGCCCCGCCTTGGGCACCTACGCCCCTGGGTCGCCCTGCCCGGAGGGACCCCCAGCTCTGCTTCCTAGGGGGACTGTGAGGAGGAGAGAGGCTAGAGTGGGCTCCCAAGGGGGTGGGGGGCAGACACAGCCACACCGCAGGTGCTCAGAGAAGGAAACAGTGAGTAAGGGGGGGTTGGAACATTCCAGAACACACATCCCCCCCCCCTTTTTTAATGGAGGCAGGACTGGTGAGGTGCGCAAGGCCGAAATCTGGGTTTCGAGGACTGCAGGCTCAGGGCCTCAAGGTGGGACAAGAGGCTGCCCCTCCCTGGCTAAAGTGCCCCTTGGAATGTCCCCAGGGATCGAGGGCTGGGCCAGAGTCACTGCCTGGACTTCCCCTGCTTCCCCAACGCTTGTCCCCTCCCATCCCACAGCCACGGCTCCCCAGCCCCTGTGAGCCCGTGGCCTTCAGGGTTGCTGGGGTCTGTGCACGGGGTCGCGCTGCCTGGCTCCTGGCTTCTCCAAGCCAGGCTTGGTGGCCTCATCTGGCCCTTACTGGGCCTGGAGCGGCTTCCCCACTGGGTCACCCAGCCAGGCCCACCCAGCGGGCAGCGAGGGCTTTGTTCTGGAGCAGCTCCCGGGTCACACAGCTCCTGCATCCCGCGCCCCGCCCCGCCCAGCCAGACATCCTCGCTCGGCTTCGGGGCACTGCTTGGAGCCCTGGGATGAGCGTGCCGCACCCAGACAGACCCCAGACAAGACAGCGAGAGAATGAAGTTGGAGGGACCAGCGAGGGGAGCACTCAGCAAGGAAAGGGGAGTCCGGGGGGGCTGTCTGGAGGAGGTGGCAGCCCTCTGAGCAGCGCCCCGCTCCCCACCCGGCCCTGTCCGGCCTCCAGACCCAGCCTCTGCCAGGAGGGCCTGCCTTGGGCCTCCCCTACCCTGGAGGAGCTGGGGACTGCCGCTGCTTTGCTTCGGAGAGTTTGTGAAAGTCCTTGAAAACTACCCTTTGTCTTCGGCCCCCCAGGGCAGCTGGGGAACCTGCCCAGCCCTCCCGGGGGAATTCGCGCACTGGCTCATTTGCCTGAGTTCTTCAGAGAGAGTGGGCGCCGCCCCTGGGGCCTCCCTTCCACACACACACAGCAGCCATGCCCTGTTCTCACCTTGGCAAGCTCTCTCCTGGGAGGGCTCACGGGCCGCTTTTTACAGATGAGAAAGAGGCAACCCGGGGAGACCCCTACCCCACAATGCTGCCAGGAGCCTCAGCACCCTGGGGTGACCTGGCCACGGTGAACCAGAGGCCACAGCAGCCTGGGGACCCTGGACTCCCACAGGGGGCCTCAGGGGCCCAAGAAGCTGGACAATAACTTAGGCTGAGTAGGGTGGGCTCAGCGGCACTTCCAAGTTCAGGCCGAATGTGGGGGGTGGGTGGCAAGAACGCCTGGCAGGGTCACGCAGCCTGGAGCCCGGGTGCCCCGGCGTAGCCTGGGACTCCCTGCCCCGGGCCCCTCCCAAGGCTATGAAAGGGGCAGAAGGCACCTACGTCCCCAGCGGCTGACCAGGAGCGGTCAACGAGGTGGCTTCTGAAATCCAGGCCCAGGGCTGGGCACACACGGATGGGGCAGTGGCAGGGCCCCACCCCTGGCTGGCCGGGTGGGTTTGTCCCTGACCCCAACTCCTCCATCCTGCCTGGCCCAAGGCTCTCAGAGGCCCCGTGGTGGGTGGGATGGGGGTTGGATGGGGGCTTCCAGGGGAGTCAGGAGCCGCAGTGGGTGGGGCTGCAGCGGGCTCAGGGGGCCACCGGCCACCCTTCCCAGCTGGCCCAGGCCATGTGGGCAGAGGAGAGGTGGAAGCCCAGGGGGCCTTCTTTGCAGTTGGAGCAGAGTCTGCAGGTTGCATGACCAGCTCACCACACCTACCAGTAGGCATCGCCCCATTTCTCAGGTGAGAGGCCTGAGGCCAGTGAGGGGGGGTGACCTGACCCCGTTGCTGACCTCACAGCATAGCTAATACCAGCATGTACCAGAACCCCAGGCAGCCAGGGCCTGGCACAGACCCAGATCCGTGGCGAGCCTCCAAACACCCCGTGTTCCTGCTGGGCAAACTGAGGCTCATGGCTGCCCTTGGCCCATGTGGGGCTCCGGCTGCGGAGCCAGCTCCTCCGGCCTGCCCAATGGGAAACCCGATCGGCCGGGGCCATGGAGCCGCGTAACCAGGCTCTCCTAGTCAAGAAATCTCGGCCGCCGGCTGTGTGCACCAGGAACCTGAGCCAGCCCCGGGGGACGGGCATGGCCCTGCTGCCCGGCCTTCCCACTGCCTGCCCCGTGCCTGGCCCTTTGCCAGCTGCTGGGGACACGAGGGGATCCCTCCTCCCCTCTGCAGCCCCTGTGGACACAGAGCCAGAGTGTGCCCTAAGTGAGACTGGTCCTGGCTGAGCCCAGAGGAGGCCCCAGCCCCAGGCCCCACGGGCGTAGGCAGTGATGGGTCAGGCAGGGGCAGCGGGAGGGGCTTCCCTTGGCACTGTGGCCTCTGGTGGGGGCCGCAGGCAGCAGCCAGGGCACCCCATTATCTGTGAGGGTCCTGCTGCCCACTCGCTCGGTG